GCTAGGCATTCAGGGCCGATTGATGCACAAAATTTGGGGTGCACGATTACGCTTCCAAAGCAGTAATGTCTCGTCAACGCAATGGAGAACGAGACCAACTGCGCAATATCTTCTACTTTAGAAGTTTTCGAATCCATGTCGTCCCAGGACATTACGAATACAAAATAAATTTAGAGACTTAATGTCTATATTTTATATACATACGCCTAAGGCTAAAGTATCGAAAGATTTGCACGAAACGTGTCCCATTTTGAGGCATATCAACAGTTCATTCGAAGTTGACTGCGAACTGAAGAATATAAATCGGGTTCCAATCACTGAAGAGCATTTCCACACCGACACCGGTTAACTTTGGTCGGTTCCTAGGAAACGCTGCAAACGTAGCATGCTAGACGCACTTGTCAATAATTTTCCTGATGATCAAGATATTTTACTACAAAATTATTATACCAACAGAGAGGGAAAAGTCTGCTAGAATCCTGCTGCAAATAGCGAATAATCCTGCTAGACGAGTGACTCCTCTAAGCTGCTTAGATACTTCCGACAGGATTGAACTGCATAATCCAAGAAAGTGGCACCGTGTGACTCCGTTGATTGTATAACGGGGACTACCGGGCGTTCCGTGACTTCCGTCTTGGCCCTTGGGACTCAGTTTAAATCTGAGTTGGCCTTAATCTCCAAATTCTGAATTGAAGAAATTAGGAATGTTGCCCACATCGAATTGCAGGAAATGTTTCGGATTGCAACTGGCCAAATTCTCAACTTCAAACCAACTACCAGTTAGCTTCAGACAAAGATCACTTATCCATGGAAGTTGGAGATTTTGCTACATTTCAAACGAGGGATTTAAATTATTCACAATAATCATAAAAAATGGAAAGGACAATCCTAAGAAATACCGATCAATGAACACTTTGTCTAGGCCTTAAGTTTAGAATGCAAAGCAATGAACATTTGAGATAAGTCTGTATTAATATCCCTACCTAGCATAACGCGAGTTTTTTACTCGCTAAGGACGGCACGCTTTCTATGTCTCGTAAGAACCCCCGCGGCGTACGCACTTGCGCTGAGGAACGCGTGTAACCATCAAAGGTATTAACGCTCCCAAGTGTAGCTTTAGTAATTCTCCCGTTTTACCTTCACTTACTACCGCTCCAGTTGCTTCCTCTAAGGAGTTGAGTTGAACGCTTTGAACCCGGGCTAAAGGGTAACAGAGGGGTTTTGTGAACGAATCTTTGATAAGCACTAAAATGCCTACGGCAATTGGGCGATGGGTCCCTGACTCGTATCAATTAGTTGCTTGGATAATAAAGTTTAAAATAAATTCTGGATGATACAGAACTATGAGAGAGTTTTGTGCCTGCTTTAGTCTATTGGCATCTATCTGGAAGGTCGTGTAGGCAGGCGATTCCGGCTCGATGGACAGGTTACGGGGACAGTGACGCAGCTCACTCACATGGCACAGCTCATCTTCCAGCTTCTGGACGTGAAAATTTTGGCGTTAAACGAAATAATTAAAGGCAATCAGTTAATTATAATAATTCAATAACAAATCTGGTAAGATGCGTTGGGAAAATTTTAAAACTGCCTGTTCACTACCCGTATCTTCAACTGATAGTGGTGACAATTGCAAACTTGAAACTAGACAAATTCCTTCATAATCTTACATGAAACATTTATCATTTATTTTCAACGGAGGGTTGTTCGACTGATGACTGATGATCAAATAAAATGTAAAACCTGCTTTTCAGGCTAAAAATCAACCTATAAACGAGTAACTTTTATTTCCTTATTGATATCTGGCAGTGGTCGAGGACGCACGTAGTGCTTGCGGGTCCCAACTTTCTCACTTTTTACTATGCCGGTTTGACTTATCTCGCGAATTTTGTACCGAAACGATTTCAGTGAGAGGTTCAATGTTAGTGCAGTTCAATCAAAATTGTGCGAATAGTGAGAAAAACGGCTAGTACAAGTGTTTTATTCCCGACAAATTCTAGTGCGTGAAACGAGGGCAAGTTTTGAAACCCTCGGCGACTGCCGGTAACCCGAGAACAATCGCTGCCTTGACTGCGCTCAGGCCTCGCCTTCCTATACCCTCCCCACCCTCTTGGCCCCTACACCTCCCCCTCTCCACCCGCCCCAGTCGGCGCTGAAGTGTAGGCTGATATGGCCTGTCGCCGATTCTTTTATATTTCTTGCCTTGTTCACAGAAGATCTAAAATCGTGTCACTACTATACCGGATCTTTTCAGGACTGACGATTGTTTGAAATAGCTACTATACTTAGTATCTTCTGCATAAACTTAGTTATTAGATAAAAGAAGCTTCATGCAAATCGACCAATGATCGTATGTGCCTGCGACATGATAATATGTTGTCTCCTTAACTTGCAGGCTCACACAGCAACCTGTTTACGTATCTGGCTAACATATTACATTCACGTCTTACAAATGTCAAAGGGTCATTTTCAACTGTTGATTTGAATCTCACTGACTTAGAGGGCAACATACTATAATGATTTGGCGTTTACAGCTTCGCATGCGTGCTGCTTCCCTACTGATCCTGAAAGCACCCTTCATCCGCCCATCAAAACTATAACTTATGACGCTATCAATATCTGCAAAGTGTAAATTATAGCTAAATCAATAACCATAAGTTATAGTTATACAGTGCCGGAAATGGCTATACGACCACCCAGTTTTCTACAATTATTTTTTCATGCCCAAAAAAATATGAAATTCTAATTACACGAGGTTAAACTACGTTTATAAACGATTCCAGCGCTATGCGAAAATTTTTTTTTTAAATATATGAGAAGAAATTATGAAAATTAGAAAAACCTAGGTGGAAATGGTTATAAGACCAAGACATATATTTCCGTTTGTGGATCACACACACTCATTTTAACAGGCAATCTCACCTTCTTTCGCCATAATCACCTCAATGCGTCTTCTCCCCACGATATTTACCATATAATCCAGTGTATTTTGAGAAATTTTATTCCAAGAACGAAGGATATAGCGGTGCTCAGGTTACTCAAAGATTGAAACTGGCGCTCATTTTGGTAAACATCACTCGCCATGATGCCTCATAAGTTTTCAATGGGGTTGAGGTCAGGACTAAGCGACATAAACATATGATCCCTCATGTTTCTCATCGGCAGAATGAAGGGAGAAGTTGATAAAACAGCGTGTGCGTGTAAGCCTCGGAATCTTGTCTCCCATGTAAAATAGTTGGAGTTGATTTTCCCTTTCGGCTAAACGCCCTCCAAAGTCCAAACCATGACCGAACCACCACAAGATTGCCGCTTGAACAAAAATTCAGGCTCACGGTCCAGTGGTGCCAATGGCATTGCCATCCATATGGACCATAAAGATTGAACTTTTTTCATCACTGTAGATAAACTTGTGCCATCCCTCACCAATAAGCAAATTTTTTCAGCAAATTTTTGTCGGTTGATAATATGCTTTTGTTGAAGCACTCGGGCATTTTTTCTCGTCATGTATTTGAATTTCTTTGAGTCATGCAATGACTAACCTCTAACGGATGCGTCGTGCCGTCACATCAACTCCAGTGGCCAATTTTATAGAAGTAGAGGTAGCGCAAGTTTTCGAAGCCTCAGAAAACGAAGCCGTCAAGCCTCAGAAGCCTCAGAAGCCGTCTCCTAAACTCCCTCAACCTCTGGGTGACAAGTAGAACATATAAGTTCAAACATCCAACCTTATGCCAGTTTTCCAGTTTCAATAAAAAAATTCCAGTTTATTCGTCTTCTACCCCACCATTTAGACTAAACTGAAAAAAAATTCCGTCCAGTTTCCGTTATCAACGGCTAAAAATTTCGACATTTGAAAATTCATCGAAATTTAAGAAATGGTGTCTCAAGTTCAACATTGAACAGTATGATACATCTTCGTGTTAGTCTTTGTCATCCATCTGTCAGTGCATGTTTAAATCCCTTTCTTGTTTGCAGATGCGAATTAATTCTTTTGGTGCGTAATGTAATTTCATGACAACCTTGACAATGACTGTGAAAATCAGCAAAGAAAATAAAGTAATCGTGCACGTATGTGCAAATAAATTATGATGGCATAGTTGTGAAACGAAAAACTTTCGGACCCACAGAACTTCTTTCAAAAGTTGAAGATTTTTTTTAATGAACTATACCATAAAGTGAAAGAATTTTTAACGAGTTCATGAATACGATTACCTTGATGTAGAAGCGGTGATGCTATTTTTTGTCGCTATCGTGCGCCTGCACCAACAGTTTGAAAACGCCGTGCGGTCACCGAAATTTGAATAAGACAAAAAATTTAGTCGAAAGTATTCAAAGACGGGCAACAAGGATAATTGCGGGATTAATGGGTAAGTATTGTGACCAAAGATCGAACAGCGATTACGAAGCTTCCAAGTTTGTCTTATCGACGTCGGCGTTGCAACTTCATTGAAGTATACAAGTATCATTATGGTTTTACAAGATTCTAGAAGAATTACAACAATATAAAACAAACAACACCAGGGTCCACGGCTAAAAACTAAAAAAACTGCTGTGCAACTCATCCAATGAGACAACACTTCTCGCAACAGTCACCGGAATGTGCACTGTGCATGGAACAGACACCTTGCTGGCATTAATTAAACGCTGCGAGTATATGAAAGCGTACAAGAAGACTAGATGAAGTTATGCAGCGGTTTATTTTTCGGCAAGTGCCATTGGTAGATGTTAAGCAGCTACTTAACTTCAATGTCTGTTTTGTAAAGATCTAGTCAAAAGAACAGTTAATAGATCCTTAAATCTCCAAGCGACAAGTCATGAGTGTTATAAAAATCGGCGACCGGTCAACGCCGATGTTTCTATGAGATGCTAGTCAATGCTATTAATGGAGAAACTTACAGACTACATCGCTCTACGGACGACCATTTATAATTTGCATTTGAAAAATAATAATGAATTTAGGCATCAAGCACCAACTCATTCGTGGCAAGGAAAATCATCTGAACTCCTAAGGTAGATGATTTATTATCTAGTTTTGATGTTACATAGCATATCTCTCGTTACAGCAAGCAATAAATATAGAACACTGTGTCAACTTTCCTTCAATGTCGTCTCTGTGTGATGAAACTGGTTTTGAGGTGAGGGATGCATTTTGAGAGCGTTCGTGAAGAAAGCGTCACTGTGTTGGACGGTTGTAACACCGCTATTGATTTGATTATACCATATTTGGAGGAAAAATGCGTATTTGCAAGTTGAGTTAATGTCGTTGTTTGAATCCATATTCGTGTCCTGGCGATGATGCTGTCTGCTCTAACCACAGTTCGCCGGAAGAGAAATGGATCCCGCAGTACAGTAGTAAGACAAGCTGATGGTTGATGCTGTGTTGGTGGCGGTGGTGGTGAGGGTGGTCGTGGTCAGGAACTTGGTCCAGACTGTGAAGAATTTCTTCCCGCCATCGACCACCTCGCGCATTTGTCCCTTGGAGTCGAAACCAGACAACGAACTCTCCACTCTATCTTGCCTGTGAATGAAAAAAAAAAACAATCGTAACAGTTGCTTAGGATCATAAAGATATCGAGTTATCTTATCCGAGATTTCAGGTCCTAGACTTTAATTCTTCAATTTCTGAGTACTATGTACGAAAGCTTCTGCTTGCGCATCAAAAACAAACAAAAAAAAAAAACATTGTACTAAGTTGATTTATGAAGCTCAGGGCTTTTGAAAAAATTATATGCTAGCCAAAATTACAACAATTAAACTATTCTTACATTTCGTTGGCGAGAAGTGATATCGGTACCGATTGCCTCTTCCTCCTGCGTCGACCTACGGTACAGGCGGAAGTTGCTGTGCCGAGAAGGCAGTACAGGGGCACAGTAGATGTTGAGTAAGTCACGATGATGTGAGTTTGAGTGCGGAATGAACCGAAGAAAAATTTTTCTTTCGCAGACGATGCATCGGTACGCGATTCGACGATTTTCGTCTCGTTCGATGAAGGTATTTCGACATTAGTGAGGTTTGCTGTTTTATTACTCGAGGAAGTGTTCCTTAATTCATGATTTGGTTCCTGATGGGCCGTTGTTGAAAATCGGGTATGATTTTCAGCTGTGAAATGGAAACATTTCAGTAGGAACTTTCTCTAAAAACAACAAATTTCTATCTAAATTCAATACTATAGATGGAGCTGAAAATTAATGTAGTATATGCAAGTTACATTGAATGTTCATTTATTCAAGTTATTCATTAATAAGCAACTGTGGTATTTCATTTCTAAGTACAAATATCTTACTTTTGTCAACGACGTCAGAAGGTTTTTCAACTACGAGGTCAGGGAGAGGAAGTGATGTGTTGACAACGGCATCTGCTGACGTTTGATTTAGTGCCGAGTCAGCAGACGCAGTGCTGACCAAAATAGCACTCAGTAACAGCGCTAGTGCCATCACCGCTCGGCCGCCCATCTGATGAGGTTAATAAAGGTCTGTAATAAATAAAATTAAATGAGCCTATCCTATCGTCTACTGTGTATCTGTACTTGGTGGGTAGGATGATTTGTGTCACCCGAAGATTTTGGGATTGATGTGGGATTTTTTCAGTGTCACCCGAAGTGAACATGTGATTTCTGAAAACGGAGATTGGTTTTCTACGACGTAAATTCGCGACCAAATGAGAACTTTTGCCAATAATTACATTGCCAGATGAATAGATCAGGATATTGAATACTTTTAAGTAACGACTTGAACAATATTTTTTAGAAATCAAACCACCCTTCTCAATTTGTTTGGGAATAATCTGAAAAAAATAACGTCGCAATCAGAACTCCAAAGAGACAATAACGAAGTATAATAAATGTTTTAATGAGGTGTGCGTACATGAGTGCTCATGCAATCGCCTTATTTTGGATTTTAGAAGCATCTTAATCGACACTCCGTTTTATGACAGAATATGGGTTTCTTGCTATTTTAAACAATTCAAAGATTCAAGAACTGCAAAGCATAAACACTAAGGTTTAATAGAACAAAAAACAGATGAATATAACTAAAATAAACTTATTTCATACCCTCGTTCAGCAATGGATTGCAGTCGAGGACTATTGGACTCGAATATCTTGTACTCAACACTACACCAGAACGTGCAGAAGGGGTGGTATTTGTTCAAACCTTGAGCAGTAACTACCCTACACAACGTAACAGACTCTGTGAGCTCATGTTTGGCATCACTTCTTAAATATATCATTTTTTCAGCATCGACGAGGAATAATAAAAACTGGGCCACTTTTTCTAGCCTTTTTTTGCTACGATGAAGGAAATATTTACGAAAATATCTAATGCATGCATCCAAAATCAATGTCAGAATTTCTGGATTGGTTATGGTCCGCTCAACCACAATGAAAGGAAAGGAAACAACGTCCACATAAAGCACATCATAACTTAGAAATTAATTAATTAGGAATGATTCTTGTGGAAATAGTCCAGAACTTAGGATTTGATTCGATTGCGTCTTTATTGTGGAGGAATAATGAACGGAAACGAAAAATTCATGCCAAGAAGATTAGTTTCGGTATGATGATGAGAAATTGCAAGGCAGCTAAAACTTAATTAGACATAAGTTAAACCATTATTAAGAAATACGTGACTTAACACATAAACTACTATTCTGTAGTCTCAAAGCTCAAACCAGGGTAATCATGGATTCATTGTGAAAGTGAACTGAAGTTCTAATGCAAGTAAACTTTCATTTTTGTTTATCTATTCGCTATCAAACTCCAGCAGTACGCTTTCCGTTTTCCATCGGAATGAGATACTTTGAAACAACAAACATGTAAAGCAAACTTACAAATCATATTGTCTGAAACGCTTTACACCGAGATTCCTATCTCTCCCCTAATTTTAGCAAAAACCGACCAAGCGCAATATGAGTGTTCTATATCAAATTATACAATAACGCGACATTCTTTTGTGTTGTAATATGATGGGTCGACTGCAAGTGTCAATTTACTTTGTGTGTGTGAAAATTTTATTCTGAAGTAATTTATTTCCCAGGAATTACAAAATTATCGGAATTTGCGACCAGAATTTTCAAGTCTCCATGGGCAAAAATTGTCATCGACAAATGACATAAAAGATTGAAAATAATTTGGTTACACTTGTACCTGTTTCACACTGAATATTAAAATTCAAGGAGTACGAGCAAAATAAGTTCAATTCCAGTTAGTGTAAAACATCAATAGTTGGCTATAATTTTTAATCCTCTACACTGACCAATATAGGGTAACATGGGGCAGCGAGCCCACTGCGGGTCATGGGCCCATTGCGGGTTTCTCGCTATACGTATGGCAGATATTGGTCCGTGTTCTCTACCGCCGGTCGACAGTTTCACTGGGATGAAGTGTACGGATTTACGTTTTGCTAAGTGTTTGCGTTATTAAGTTATTTGTGAATAACTGTTTTTGTCCAGATAAAAAATTTTTTGCTGCTAAATAAAAAATGTTTCGATTACTGTAGATGAAGCTTTTGAAATTACTGTGAATTATATTTTCAAAGTAATACTTATAGGGATAATTTTGAGATCAAGTTTAGACTATTAGCTTTTAAAATAAAATGTTGACACGATATAAATTGAAATGATACCTAGTGGGGCAACGAGCCCACGCGTGTCACGGGGCAAAGCGCCCATGGTGAAGTCTTGTGTTATACATCATTAAATTTGTCTCAATGACCTTTTCAAACAATGACTAGCTTTTTGAATTACAAATTACACTTCATATTGCATAATTTTTTTATTTGCCGCCTCAAGGCAGCAGGTTTAGTTTCTAGTTATGCGTATTTATGACCTCTTATCGAGTTATTGACTCTTGCCTTGCCAAAAGTTGATTTCAGCCAACACCAATGAGCCAAAAGTTGACGAGTTTTTATGGCGTTGGCTGAAATCACGATTAGGTACGAATTCTCTGCACATAATATCTGGATTATGGACGAAACTGGAACGAAGTTTTTTTTCTGATCAACTAAATATATATTTTCTAGTCAAGGATCCATTTTTTTCATGTCAAAACGGATGAATTATTTATCGCAAGGATATATTTTTCAAGTCAAGGATATATATTTTTATGTCAATGAAATATTTTTCTTCACGCCAGTGATAGATTTTTTAAGCCAAGAGTATATTTTTTTCAAGTTAAGTATATGGTTTTTTGAGTTGTTAATAAATGTCATATTTTTATTACATTTTCTTATTTTTAACTTTAAAGTTTTGTTTTTTCATTTTTAAACGAAAAATATGCATTTGTGGTAAAGGGACCAAGGGTGGGCGCCTTGCCCCAAGCCCATGGGCCCATTGCCCCAGGGGTAGGGCAACGGGCCCATTTTGACACTTTTTACAAATAGTGTTTCATTAAAAATTGAATAAACATATAAACATAAACATTCCTCATTAGTTGTACCTTTAAACAAAACAAAGAACCACCTCGTATCAATTAAAACTTCATCAAAATTTTAGTTTAAAAAAGGGGAGGGCGATGCCCCATGTTGCCCTACACATCACTATATAGTTATCCTCATCTTTATTAGTTAAAGGAACTATTTTATTGCTGATGCCAGTAAGAAATTCCAATATAAATTCCATAAAATTTCTGGCAAGTGTATCATTAGTCCTCAAAAAATCTCCGTGAAACGCAACCTTCTGACGGTAAAGAAGGTGAATATTTACGTATTGGCTCGCTATTTTTTGTTGAGTTTAAAAACCAAGCGTCATTTCTCTGTCTTTCCAGGCAAGGAATATTCGTCCCTTTGTTTATGATTCCGGATCGTCTTCCAGATTCTTTTCTCTTGAATACTCGATTTCGCAAATCAGTTTTTAAAACGATTTTAAAACGTGCTACACACGGTTTTAATCAGCTTTCCGTCATAATTGCTTTATTTCGCGCAGAGGAATAATAAGTAAAGGATGAAGCAGAAACCTTTATTATTTTGAAAAATATTTTTCAAATTTTTGAAAAAAAATTATTATGATCGATTGGTAGAGTAGAAATCATGACTTTGTCAGTCTCAAGTGTTCATGCGTGGTACATATAGTGAAGTAATCATCATTATCACGTTGTAAAATATCGTTATTTTAATAATCATTAGTGTCGAGGCGTTGTGAACAATGCTTGGCAGCAATTTCTTTGTGCTGGAAATTTCAATTAACTTTTGCAAGCAAATTAAAAACAGATGGAAAGCTGAGTAATTTAAGATTATTAAAAGAAGTATCGTAATCAAATTTTATTATTAAAAGAAGTATCGTATTCAAATTCAAAATTAAATTTAATTTCCAAGCTATGCTTTAATAATTTAAAGTGAGCGTGTGCGTATCATTGCCTCTCAGTTGATAAAAGATAATCGCTGTACACATAAAACTACCAACGTTACAAACTTGAGCTCTGCGCCAGTGGAACCATTTCGAATATTGTGTTGTGTCGTTGTTGGGAATTCGAGTGAAAATGCAATATCTATCTCTTGCTGTGTGTCAAGATTTTTCAAAAATTTAACTTTACCTTACGCTTCCAAGGAAAAATATAACATTAAAAATAATAAAAAAGTATCTCGAAGAATATTGTAGTGCTTCATCCCACACAGCTGTTACCAGGGACTGTCAAGAAGCCGACTGAACAGAAGTACGACAGTGAGACTGTGGTTGAGGAGTCCGTGAAAATGGTCGTGATGGTCGTGGTTGTGGCGACCGCCGTCCATATGGTGAAGGCCGCCCGGCCACGTGGATTGCCGTCCGTCACGTCAACCGTGCCGTCTGACCCTGCAATGCTGGATGAGTCCAGTTCGATAGCCTCGGACGATCTGTTCGAGACGTTCTCTTCTTAAATAATGAATTTCAAGAAGCAAAACATTAGGTTTACAATTAAGTATCCAATATCAATATCTTTCCTGAATATTCTGCTGTTTAGCTTGCTCATTTCTAATGAACAGTAGTGAATTAATCAATACTCGGCCTTGAAGTTTATCTATGAAACTAAGCCCTTGATAGCAAATTCGTTCTCAAGCACATGAAATATATTGTCTAAGATCAAATTTCACACTGCCTCTTGAAATGACCGGAAACAAATTATGCCATGAATTGCATCGAATATCATGAATTGCACAGTATCATGAATTGCATGATACGAAACTCACGAATCGGCAGTTTGTTTCTTCACGAATGACCGTTTCCTTCTCTTCCTGCCTGTACAGTCGACCGCAGAATTCATGGCCGCGACGCAGGAAACGAATGCTGTCGACGTCGTCAAGACAACGTTAGTGTTCGTGATCGTCTGATAAGTTTGCAAAAAGAAACGTTCTTCGCGATCTTCTTCAAAGTCTTTTCCTGATAGTGTGACATTCAACGCCGCTTCACTATTCGCAATTAACTGGTCATTCTCGGATTCGTATGCAGTGAGGTTCTTTTGTGATGGCCCAGGCAAAATTTTGAGCACGATGTCCTGAGTCATAGATTGCTTCGCCAGCAGAAACAGCAGCGCTGGCATTATTGTTACGTAGGACGGCATCTGCAGGATGATAGCGATGATTATGCTCCAAATCACTTTTTAACACACAATGTTAATTGAACTATATTTGGTAGCCTTAATCTGACGACGAATATCGTAATCTCAGTACATACCAGATTCGAACTCGATTCCGGTCAAAAGAAATAGCCACTGGAATCCATTCCAAACGCGTCATAATTTTTTGTTTTAATGCTTCATTATCGTCTCATGTAGGACATGTGAGCGTAGAAGTTACTATTTATTGCTCTAAAGAGTAATTACGATCAATGCTTTAGTTTAGCTGAATGTTTTGAAGAACATAAAATTGTCAGTGACATAATTAGTTGCCTAACGAAATTTTTAATCTTGAATACTTTGTAAAGAGGAAAACTAAATTCTAAGAATTTAGTAGTTGTTCAATAATTTCCTCAAAAATGTATTCAAGTTGACACCATAATAACTTACTATTAAGGATGACCAATGCGCTCTCTCGACGTACAGAGAAGCCCGTCCTTATATATTAAATACGAATGTTTACCTGCAACAAGTCATTGCATGAGTCAGCAATTAATTTAAATTTTGCACGAATTCGGCGGTCGCATTTGTTTTGAGTTGCTGAAGTCATTGGAACAGGACAAATTATAACGATTCATTTCCTCTTGATCTTCTGTGCCAAGTTCCTGACCGGAACTAAACTGTTGATTCAATTGATTGCAATTGAGCAAAAATATTTCATTGCTGAAACGCAAGTAAAGTAAACTTAAAAATCATTAAGTACATTTTTTCAAGTTGCGCTTTTGGAAAGCATAAGACTTCCTGTATACAATCTTGTACATATACAAGAAGTTAGCCAATAAAAACAATCGATATGTTCAAAAATTAATTTTTGAAATGAACCTTATATTCTTTTTATGCAGTTTCTGTTTTTCAATTTTGAAACTGAGTATGTTCCTTAAATGTATCGCAAGAGACATCGACCCGACCGGCTTTTTTCCTGTTAACGGTACCACGCACCAGCGTCGCGGTGACCGGCGACTGCGGTCGTCGGACCGGCGCAGCGCGGAGCAAAAAGCCGGCGCAGTGCGGGCGTGGCAGCGGCGCTGCAGGCGAGGCGAGCCTGGCACAGCCTGGCACTGCGTCCGTGTCCGCTCGCCGCAACTTGGCCTTAGTAACGCTTGCTGCCATAACCGCGCAATTAATATAATTAATATTTATATTTAGGATTGATTGAATGATATAACGTCAATGAATCAAAAATTTTGATTTTATTAGTTATTTTTTAGAATTCTATGCTCAAATCCAAATATTAGTTATATTTGTGCTGTTGCGTACATGAAAAAATGTTCCAGACAAAATCCATTATTTAAGTGTAACGCTCACTGTTATCAGTCTTAACCACAAGCAAAGCTCATATAATAATTGCCAATCCGGTTAATTTAAGAAAATCGGTACTTTTTCCCTAAAAATAGTAAGATTTCAGGATCGACAAACGTATTTGGGACCATGCATAGCATTTATTATCTGTTGGCTATTCTCTTATTTATTGTTGGCTCTATTAACAACTTTGGCTATTCTCTTATTAGGAGTCGAAATCGTCAACTTTTTTCGTAATCGGACCAAAACAAATTAACCTTGCGACTTGCGGACCTCCTCCTTGAACCATTTCGCTACTTATGTAAATAAATCTTGCTTTTCTGTCACTAATTTACAGTTTTTGCAACTGTGTTCCCTTTGTTTGTTTGTTTGGTTGGACACACCATCGCCGTTCCCTCCTTCTAATTCTCCTCTACGAGAACTTTTTCTCCAGCATGCACGACTTAAGGAGACAAACGACGTTTGAAATGTCGTTTAACGCCTTTATTTGCTATCATACTGAAATACATTGCGTTGTAAAGGGAATAAACTATTATGGGTTTCTAATAATATTTATCGGTACTTGCCAGATAAAAATCCACTTCTCCATCTCAACTTGCGTCTTGGTCTAAAAACCCGACAGCTTTCATTGTTATTGTTCTGTAACTCAATTATTGTGTTCATGTTTAGTGACAAACATATTCATGGTGAGAATTTGGGAGAGAGACGCGCAATATAGTAGAAACGACTCATTCCTCTTTTGTTCAAACATTGTAGTACTCAAGCACCCATTTCTGTACCAATATTGAAATAAGGAATTTTCCTGCGCTGAGTTCAACTTCTATGTTGATCGGTTCTCAAAGGTCGCAGTGCATCCACTTCGTTTTGGCGCCCAATGAAAGTTTCATCGTTTTCATTGACATCTTATATTTCCAATTGTAATAAAATTCAATATCATCACACAGGGGCGTATAACAAAGTCAGAATACAAAAAATTCAAAGCTATTAATTGCAAAGTTCTTAGAAAACAAGTCCATTGTCATGAACAATGGTCGAACAAAGCGAATATCCAAAATGTTCATTGACTATAAAATTACTTGATTCTCAAAGATATTAATTAAACTGGAATCATACTTCTTAATTATTCTGTTCTTCAGTACATTAAATTATTTATCAACATGAACTTGGAGAATATATATTCATTTCAATTGCCCACTAATCGCTGTTAATATCAAAGAATTAATTTCCTAATCTTGGTACTTACTTAATAACGTGATAATATAAATGTGTTTAAGTAGACTATCTATATATAATTTCCCTTCTTTTTAGTTGGAAGTTGAACTTTCCTATGTTCGCATATATATATATTCGAGTGTTTGAATTACAAGTAGCATTTGCTTGTAATATTGACAGATATTAAAATAAAACGTTAATAATTAAGTAAAGAATCCGCAATTCAACTTGGACTGAATTTTTTGTTGATCATTAAATATAATCACGGGAAACACACTATTTAATAAACTAATAATGGTAACGGTAAATATAACTGATATTCATTACATTTGCAAGAACTGATGAAAATTTTTTCAGTTTTATAATGTCTGTAAACTATTGTTTTCTTTATATCCACCTCTAAGTTTCGTAGTCTGCCAAGTAAGTTAAAGTTCCCATTCTACTCGAACATTAAGAACAAAATTCATTGTGTTCTAACTTTCAATTATCGGATGGTTTTTTGACTGAACTTACCTTTTATTTATCACTCATGCAGGTTACAGACACATACTCAAGTGATATTTTCCTAACTCCCTTATACGAACAAAATACTTGTATTTTACAATGAAGCGAAAAAAGTAATAAAAAGTTTCCGACTACCAACATTTGTAGGGAACCAATTAAGTTTCATAACTAATGAGACAATATTCCGAATGAAGACTGGCAATACCGTTAATTTGGATTTCTGCTCCACTGTTATATCTTAAAATTAAATTTTAAATTCTTCTCGCTTACTGAGTACAATAATACAATTTCCAGGGCATGCTTCATCATTACCTAATGAATGAAAAGGCAAAACTTTGCCATATAACATCATAGCATGGGAAGTCCTATTAATGCTATTGATAGAGCCACGATAGGGAAGTGAAAATATAGTCCGTTATTGAAGCTATGTACTAAAAGTCCTAAAAAAATATTCTCTGCAATCTTGAAGGAATGGTGCACATATTATTTTATACACTTCTTTGTTCTCACTATCTGCAAAAAACAATTTGAACCATAATCTATTATTGCAACAAAGAACATAGAGTAAAGGCACATCCCTGTTAATAGAAGGGTGCTTGAATATGAAAAACCTCTGCTTTATTGTTACAGCGATGCATACAAAATAAGAACTTATAATGCATGTTCCCTGCGAGGAACCATAGCTGCGGGCGGCAGGCTGCGCACGGAGAGCAAACAACCTCGAAAATATCGTCGGCGATCGTCGCTCGCAATCTTTGATGGATGCTCGGGACGTGTTATGCTTCTATTTACATTAGGACGGTGGATGTGTTATGCTCCTCTCCATGTTACGACCAGCGTGAACATAGCGCGAGATGGCAGAGCGATGATCGGGTGCTCTGGGAGCCATGAGTGAACATGACTTTTTGCATGAATTTCTTTTGATCGACAGACAATGGAAATAATTTTCTGTCATGAAAAGGAAACCACTGAATGCTGTGCATGAAAAAAGTTACGACTTTTTATTATAGAGAGTAAACAAAACTACTATATTTATGCTGAGATCAAATGAAGCGACTATGGCTTCATGCGTTGTTTTTCATATTTTCACACACTGGTTAATTTATTTTTGATATTATATTGTTGAAGATGATAGATTATTCATTTCTTTGCAAAATTGAATGGTCAATAAATTTTGCATTAGAATTCCTTGAAAAGAACAGTTTTACAAAATTTTAAATTAAATAGGCTGATAAATTCATTTCATAATAATTTTCTAGACATGTTGTTGGTGTTAGAAAGTTCCGTTTGATAAACGAGGTGTTGCGGTCAGCTTTCGTATAGTGAAGGTAGCTCCCTCTTGATCCGCCAAAAGTGAAAATAAGTATTTCAAACAAAAAAAATTAAATCTCACAATTCAATATCAATAAATATATTAGAAAATAGAAGAATACAAGACAATGTGAAAAATATTAATCAGTTGAGAAATCAGTCGTTTGTAAAATTTTACTTAAATATCGGCATATTAATTGCTGTATGAACGGAAGCTGTAGGATAAGTTATTATCTTCGGTGTTAGATATTCACGATGCTCGTATTTTATTAAGAAACAAATGGATCATTTGCTATTAATGAATTAATAAATTGATTATTCCAATTAATTTCTCATCAGCATAACAATTTTTCGAGCGGCATTGTTTTTGAAAAAATTAAAGGAAACATCTGCTTAAATATTAATCAAATTAAACAGCATGATTTTAGCGAAAATCGAAGTGAATTGTTTCTGATAATGACAAATGAGGTAACAATATTTTTATGCAGCACCACCAACACGTAATTATTTGCACATAGATAGACCTTGTTTTGCGGACCATTTGAACTGCAAGAAACACTGTAAGTGCCCCGAAGACCCGTAGCCCAAGGGCGGTCTGAACACGCCGCGTGTACAGTGCTCGCGAAATTTGTTCCTCACTACCATGAATTGAAGGCAAGAAAATGAATTGGATATTATATTTATATTTAATTTATGAATTGTATTAATATTTAGCCTATTCGAACTCTATCGAAAAAGCCACTTTTTAGCCGCTTATGGTTTATTTATGCCGAATCAAATTTCAATTCGAATCATTGACAGCTAGACAATCAAAGAGTTTAAATTTGATAGAATATTTTAATCCATCGAAACATTTTTTGATGATTTTTTTCTTGAGCAACACAAAAAATTTCCGCTTTCGGAAATTGAATGGAGCGATCAGATATGTAAATGCCATGCCTGCATTTTTATACTAGAAAAAATTATGAAGAAGTCAACAACAAGTCTTCGGAAAGCTATCTAAGATTTTTAAATTGCCCCGGTATATTTCGAATCTATAAAAAATTAATGTCCGAAAATCTGCACCGCTTCAAAAAACTACAAACGAGGCATGAGTCAATAACTCATGTACGTACATGAGTTATTGAAAGACATATGAGTGAAATACTGTATTACTCGTATTTCAGAGTAGCCAGGTTCAAAGTTGAATAATTTATGAGAAATACGTATCATTATATCGGAGGACATTGAGAAAAATTTTAATTTTCTTGGAAAAATATTCAATATAGTTTTACTTGCAAGTTATTATGAATTCATGAGATAAATATATTACGATTATTGTGGAAAAATTACCCATATTGGACTATCTTTGTTGATGGGACTGAGCAGAACACGTTGGGGTTATTCTTCGACGTGTTCTGAGGTTGTTTTACTGTCTAGTGATCGATTGATTTATACGGAATAGAAATTTTATGAAATCTTGCAGCTATGGAATTCTGATAAATAGATGTACATTTCATGGCCTATATGATTTTTCATTTCATTATAATCACAATGCTTGGCAGGCTTAAATGTAGATGTGGAATCAGCGAAACCACGTTTGCAGTGTTATAGTTATCGTAGGTGGTGATTAAAAACAATGCACAAATTTTTTGCAAATCTGTACTTTTTTGTAAGAATTTTCCGGGAATTTGCGTAGAAAAAAAATTTGTAAGACTTTCCGACAAATCGTTGCCGCGAAATGCTCAATTAACAACACATTGAACAACCGATCTCATAGCTAAACGCAGCAACTCTTTTAGTCGAGGAGACAACATTTTCAAGATTGGATTTTGTTCACACCAAGGACTACTACACACAGGACATGCATAGCCTATGTCCAGCCTCTGCTAGCAGAGGCGATCGCCTACACTATGAAAATGCTGGTGTTTTAGTGGCATCAACAAATGATATGCCCATAATTGTTTCATACAATAGTATTACAATGTGTGTAGTAGTCCTTGGTCAGAACCATAGACTTTTTGCCAGTTTTGAAGTTCAAAATTTTGTACTAAGCAAAGTAGGTACCATTTTCCTGCCTTCATACACTGATAAAAAAAAATATTTAAATGGAGTCAGTATACATTTACTCATAACATTCCGGCAAAAATTCTATTGCTCTGATAAATATAATGCCTTTGGATTCAACTCTTAAACACTCTTTAAATACATTTAAAATTTTCTNCAACGTGAAAATGGGTGATGGAGGAGGCAATGTCACTCCATATATGTTGAAGGCTCATGAGCATACTCCATCAAGCGAGAATAGCAAGGGGAAAAAACATATTTATTTGAAGGTGTCAGGCATAAAGAACGACCAGAGTTCGCGTAAACTGACCGTCATGAACGAATTACAGAAGATAACAGGAACACCTGACGCGGAAAGCAGCCAGCAACTACACATAACACCTGACAAAGACGAAGACAACAAAGCCAAGTTTTTTTTCGCTGGATACAGAACAACCACAGATACCATCGTCATCTTGACCACCTCGTCGACGCCGGTGACGTGCGTCCTTGGTTCTGCTACCGTCGCCGGTGGTGCACCGCCTCGATGCACTGGACGACGGAAGAAAAGAAGCCAAATTCTCAATTTCGACAGGTGCGTACCAAATGCGGTCCTGACACAAAGCCTTATCTTCTAAAACATTAGAAATAAGCAATAATTTTTTAACCCTACAGCGAAAAATTTTCTTGTGAGGGCAAAATATCATATTGCGTTCCTACCACATTACTACATTACATTACTAAAATGTAATAATTGTATCTTCTGTGAAGAAGGCACGAAAAGGAAAAGAATAGGCGACAGGCCACATCAGGCCTACACTTCAGCGCTGACATCACTATTACAATTACTTAAACTTGTTCATCGCAAATATTTACAGGTGGTATATATGCGTATATGCCCACCTGCTGATAGTGCACCGTTAAATTAAAGGCGATGCATTTGTCCATTTCGACGATTGAACTTCATACATAAGCCAAAAAACGCCATTTCCGATGCTGGTCGCAAAAGAATTAAATTTGAATAAAAACATCAACCCACCGAGAGCAATACTTCCTTACTAATTTCAAGTTATAATATCCGCAACTATACCTTTGCAAGAATTTCCTCTGAGATCGAATAATATGAAAAATTTGTATGGAATGTATTTAAATTTGGCCATAATTTATGTATTAATATTTCCTTCTTATCTTGGAGCACTTGATGGAGTGATTAACGCAATCGGATAAACTTATTTCTTCTCGAACCATTGAACAAACGATCTAGAAGGCCTGATTTCTAATATAATTTTGGCGACAATCCACAATATTGTACCATCATGCAATAATGATGCTTCAATATACATTCCGCAGAGCAAGTGACACATCAAGGATCAGAATTGACTCCTCGCAAGATTCGGAAATTGACTCAGAAGACGATCTCTTTGAAAAGTCTAAAGCTTTCTTCACGATTTGGACGCAGGCCTTTACTACGACCACTTTGACGACATTCGCCCGAAATTCGGCATTGACTTTGTCTTTGTCATATTATTGTTCTGCTGGAAACCTGGATGTTCCGCTTATTGGTTGTTGAAACTGATAATAAAAAACCAGTGCTTCATGAATCGTGTTGTATTTTTTTTAATTATTTGACTGTTTATATTTTACTACTGTACTATTTTTGCAAATAAACTGTTACTGATTGCAGCCACAATTGGTCAATGGCATTTAGGCGGCTATTGCATTAAAAGTTTACTCACCAAATCGAATATGAATTCGTAGCCATTAGGTCCTTAAAAGCCGCACGTCAAAAGGTGAAATTAATACATGGATAGAGGCTTATAACTTACTCTGGTTGGCCTTTGTACAATTACAGACGTGCACACAAGGGCAAAAAATGGCTACGTTATAAACATATCGCTAAAAAATTATTGATGAAAGATACTTTTAGTTCACTAGCTTCTGCTTAACCAATTACTACCTTCAATGAACATCAACGTATTTTTGAAGTATAACAAAATCTTTTACATCAAATTAAATCAAATCTGTGCATGTGACACGTTTGTATCCATCCAACGCATATTAACAAATATCATCACTCCCAACTGGCATTCAACTATTGAATCAATGATGGAATAATCATGACGTTTAAATCATGTCGAATACCTGTTTAAAATTAAAACTGAAGTAACGCCATTCTTGCTACGTCGTGTTGAAGACGCTAAAACATGCAATATAGAAATGATGATACTCGCACAACGTAGTTTTCACATCGAAATATAACGTAATAATTGTATTAATTAATGGTTGATTTTGAAAACTGAATCGACGTCCTGAATTCGTCGTTAAAATTAGGGTGATTTGCGGAAAAATTCGGAAGATGTCAACAATGATGTCAACGGAAGAAGATGGCAACAACGATGTCAACATTTAATCTTATTGTGTCATGAACATTCAATGAGCATCTAATTTGTACCTACATTCAATACGCGAGGCCGATGCTATATAAGGCTCCAATTATTCAGTTGCCTCTAACGTGATACCGATGCTATATATAGAAAGCATCAATTATTCAGTTGCCTTTAACGTGATACCGATGCTATGGAAGGCTCTAATTGTTCGGTTGCCTTTAACGTGATGTTGCCTTTTCACTTCTTTCGACAGCCTTTCACTTCTTTCGACAACTTTTGAAACTTGTGCAAAAATCAGTTGCTTGAGACCAGATCGATCAGGGAGCCCTACGTATGTCTTTGAGTCGCTTCTGCTGCTCAACAATTAATCGATGGCATCGAATTAACTGACAAGGAGCTTCCTCATCCTTTAATTAGTCGCCCAATTAACTGAAGCCACCAGACAAAAAATTGTTTAATCATCCAAATCAATAGGCTACGATACGTTTAATTCCATTCCGTAGTTTATATTGAGTGAAGTTTTATCCTCAAGAAACATAATTGACCTATCACAGGATTCAGAAATATAGACTCCGGAGAAGATTTAACCGAAAACTCGAAGACGTTTTGCACGATTTGGACGAGGGTCATCAAGGCGACCACGTTGACAACATTCGTGCCAAATTCATGTCTCTATTTTTTTTTTGTTCAGCTGGAAACCTGACTGTTCCGCTTATAGGTTGCTGAAACTGATACTAAAACAATGATATATTCATCATTCAAGTGTTGCAAAGTATTTTATTGTCACTCTGATTTGGGTATTTATTTCATTGCGCTACTTTCTAATTCAGAATGCCTTCAAAGATTGCTAGCACTGAAGAACAACATCAAGGCTTCCTCTAAAAAAGACATTATGGACACATATTTTCCTCTTCTTATACCTCTGGATCAACCACTAAATCATTTCACTAACTAATGCAGATAAAAAAAGTTGATGTATTAGCGTTCCTACAATATCATGACAATGAATGACAGAAATGTGTTTTGAATTAGCTCGAGGAGGGTTCCATCCATCCCCCGCCGAATTCCATCCATCCCCCATCCCGAAGTTGCCATCCCCCACGAATGGCAAATCTCACTCGTAATACCGATCCCCAAACCGCAAAAGGATCCTTGTGCCCCCTCGTCATACCGCCCAATCTCTCTGCTTTCCTGTGTGGGAAAGCTGATGGAGAGGCTGGTGGGCGACCGACTCTAGTGGTACCTAGAAAAATAGAAGTTTTTCCTCCCCCATCAGTTTGGTTTTCGGCGCCGCCATTCGACTCGCCTTAGTACCGCTCGAGCACGAGATTCAAATCACTCTGCGCTCCGGACGAGTCCTACTGGCAGTCTACTTCCACCTCCAGGGAGCTTTCGACAATGCATCTCATTCCGGCATACTCTATAAGCTAGCACAAGCAGGTATTACTCTTATTTCAAAGTAGCCAGGTTCAAAGTTGAATAATTTAAGGAAAATACGTATCATTATATCGGAGGACATTGAGAAAATGTAAATTTGATTCGGAAAATATTTTGTATGGTTTTCCTTGCAGGTTATTGGGAAATCGTGAAATAAATATATTACAATTATTGTGAAAAAATTACCCATATTGAATGGTCGTGTTTGTTGTATTGAGCAGCACACGTAGGGGTTATTCATCGATATTTCTGAGGTTGTTTTACTGTCTAGTGATCGATTAATTTATACGGAATAGATAATTTCATGAAATTTGGCACCTACAGCTTTGACACTTTAATAAATGGGAGTGCATTTCATGGCATATGTATTTTTTCACTTCATTGAGATCAAATGCTTTTCAGGCTCAAATGTAAATGTGGAATCAGCGACACCCTATTTGCCGTGTTATAGCTATCGTAGGTGGTTATTAGGAACAATTTCGAACTTCAGTACGCAATTATCTGCAAATTTGTACTTTTTTGTAAGAATTTTTTTCGGGAATTTGCTTAGGAAAATAATTGTGTAAGAATTTCCGACGGAAATTCCTTCCCGGTAGTAATAATTTATGAAATTGAATTTTTAATTGTTACATTTTTCAATTCAATATATAAATTTTAATACGAGTGATGCTATATTTTGAAACATCAATGATGATAACATGTGTTTTTTCCACCAAAATCTGCAAATTTCTCATTTTACACGAAAAATTTAATGCACTTTTCATCCCACGTGAGAAGGCAAATCAACAATCAAGAAAATGCGTAGTTCTAATTGCCAGCTAAGAACAGCAGGGGACCCCTAGCGAACTCGCTAAGTGAACGTAAGTACTTACGCTCTATTTTCTTGTCTATGATTGGTGGATTTTGCTTGAAAGGCCGTCAATGATTGGCGGATGAACTTACTATCTCCTAACTTTTTTTGAAAGCATAGGCCCAGGACGCCAGCATGGGAGTGGTGGCAGGTTCCTGGTGGAAAGCGTCGGCTAAATTCTCGTGGCCAAAACATTAAACGAAATCTTGAAGAAGTTCCGGACATTTGTTGAGCTTTGAGGTTTGCCCTGGAGAGAAATTGAGCTCCCTGAGGGGTTTCTGATTCGATCTGGAGGGAAACAGAAGTAAAAAGTTAGTTTATCTCTAAGAAGTCTCTAACATTTCAGCGGCATACAAGCCCTTCGTTGTAAAATATTTAGTTCCGAGCGAGAGAATTGAATTTTTTTGCAGTCTTAATTGAACATCTTATTAAAGATACATGGAAGAAAAATACATTCGTTTGAATTTAAATTTTAAGAAATTCTCTCCCACTTCCACAAATTCTCCGCTTGCCAATCTCTATGTGCTTCTCATTTAATCATCAATTTCTTATTATCTACATATTAGTGTACAAATTTAACAGGATAAAATAGAAATTGTTATATCTATTAGCCAATCAATAGTCAATTTAATTACTAATAACTAACCAATTTTATGCACAAAAAGAGAATAATAACATTATCAGAAGAATGCGAGGTACTTTAGGAAATGCGCGATGCAGTACAAATTAATGCAGACCTCATAATAGGAACGTGTAGTTAAAGCCTTGATGGAGAACCTAGTTCTCAAGCCTATGACAGGCGACTGGTGCAAAAAAGTTTTCCCAGCACATATTTCTTGAAGGATTTTAATTTGAATAAACTGTTCGATTTTTTTACATTTTATTAGATATATAAATTGTCACTTTCTTCCTGAATTATTTTATGTACCTTCGTTCCTTAAATGCTAGAATCTGTATTTTATCAGACAATGAAGGAAGTGTTTTCTTTCAGACCGTATTTTATTATTTCTTATATACAAACATTGCAAATCTTAACTCCATCATTTTGGAGAAAAAATTGTACAAATTTCCCTTTTTAGCGCATTTTCTCATTTATGGAAAAAATGCACTATTGTGCTCGCCATGTCCGTCTGTCTGTCTGTCTGTCCGTCTGTCCGTCTGTCCGTGACCTCAAGTTTTCGTCGACGAGAAAATGAGCTCTGTCACTCACTGCAGTGAGTACTGAGTTATATATTTTTATTAGTTAATAACTGCTAAATATATTCCCGAGTTAGTTCCTATTCCCACAACTATTCGTTCACTATCAATTTCAAAATCCCCAAACCAGAGATCTTAAATCATGGGAGCTAAAGTGATGACTCTTCACTCTTCCCCTTCTGCCTGCCAAGCCCAACACATGTCTATAAATGGTCTGTACGGTCGGAGTGCAGACCACGCGTGATTGAAGGTGGTGTTCGTGATGTCGCTCAAAAGCCTTTTAGAGAAACATGTTCGTCAGATCTTACAACGTCCATCATTGCATTTCTATCAATTGTTAAGTATCAAATTTGTGATTCATTTGAAGTCCGTACTATTCGAAATTTCAAAAGGTCTCCATAGATATTTAGTTTTTAACGTTATTTTAAATGTTATCATAACAATTTTGAGAAATCGATAATACAAAACTTTTGGCCGTTCAAATTTATTTTATACCAGATCATAATTGAGCACCCCTGACTGGTAAATAAAATGCATCTTTAACCTAGAAATATGTTCTATAGCTAATCGTTGGAATTTTGCAATAATGAAATTAAGCTCTGAATTCACAAAATCGACTTTCGCCTCAGCATACGAGAAATCTGTGCAGTCGACACGAAAATTGCGTGATGATTGGTGGCCCAGTCATTCATGATAGCCACGAAGCCATTACAAACTCATTCATTGTTCTATTAGGCTGTGTCAGGTTTTTAAAATGTCTTTGTGGCAAGTTTAACGCAGTAAAAAACTAGGTTCGACCAGTTATTAAAATCCGGGGCATAAGTAAGATATAAAGAGACACCGTGTGGACTAATAGTTAAGTTCATTTCTTTTGACAGCCTATTTCTCGCTGTTGTTTATCGCGGACTAACAGAGGCGAGCTACTGCTGGCAAGACGTCGCTACCGAGCATCGCTGGACTGCGCCTTTATAACATCCGTCAGCTGAAGCCTTCACACATGTACGGACGTGAAAGTGTATCCCTGTACGTGAAAGTGTATTCATGTACGTGAAAGTGTATTCATGCACGTGAAAGTGTATTCATGCACGTGGAAGTGTATTCATGCACGTGAAAGTGTATTCATGCACGTGAAAGTGTATTCATGCACGTGAAAGTGTATTCATGCACGTGAAAGTGTATTCATGAACGTGAAAGTGTATTCATGTACGTGAAAGTGTATACATGCACGTGAAAGTGTATTCATGCACGTGAAAGTGTATTCATGCACGTGAAAGTGTATTCATGTACGTGAAAGTGTATCCATGTACGTGAAAGTAAATTCATGTACGTGAGAGTGTATTCATGTACGTGAAAGTGTATTCATGTACGTGAAAGTGTATCCATGTACGTGAAAGTAAATTCATGTACGTGAGAGTGTATTCATGTACGTGAAAGTGTATTCATGTACGTGAAAGTGTGTCCATGTACGTGAAAGTGTATTCATGTACGTGAAAGTGTGTCCATGTACGTGAAAGTGTATCCATGTACGTGATAGTGTGTCCATGTACGTGATTGTGTATCCATGCACGTGAAAGCGTATCCATGTACGTGATAGTGTATCCATGTACGTGAAAGCGTATCCATGTACGTGATAGTGTATCCATGTACGTGATTGTGTATCCATGTACGTGATAGTGTATCCATGCACGTGAAAGTGTATCCATGCACGTGAAAGCGTATCCATGTACGTGATAGTGTATCCATGTACGTGAAAGTGTATCCATGTACGTGAAAGCGTATCCATGTACGTGAAAGCGTATCCATGTACGTGAAAGTGCATCCGTGATACTCTCCAATCCAGAAGTGAGTTTTGAATCGTCACGTACAGAAGGTATTCAGAAAGATATGACGTCCATATTCTATCACTCGCTGCCATAACGACAAGAAACGATTATCGACAGAGTAACAATTCCTGGCCCTAGCGAAGCCATCTGAAATGGTAGATTTCTGCCCCTATAGCTTTCTTATGAATAATTTTTATTATTGGGTGATTATCATTAGGCGGAGAAGGGTATATAACGAAACAAGAAGATATGATGATCTTTCTAAAATAAAAAGAAAGATTAAATAAAAATTGAAGTCTACATTTCCATGAACTATTTTCGACTTGGAAATTTTGTAATTTCGCATGTTTTCATACCGATGACGGCCTTTTACAAGCCCATAGCTTTCATGTCCGGGGAAAGAATCTTATAGAAATGACCTGCATGCTGCTGGACTATGCTGAGCATTATATATTTTCAGAGGTTGCTAAATGCTAAAACTTGTGAAGAATCAATTGTGAAGAACTTCTCAGAGAAGTGCAAGGATTTCTTCTTAATTCCCATTATGGAATTATGATGAATGTTTTTATTTTATTTTCTTTCCTACATTTACACACCTAATTTAGAATAATTGTACTCGGTCCTCTCTGAGAGTGTTTTGAGGCCAAAACTAAACTTATTTTAAATTGATTGTAGTTCAGTTTACAACTCTAACGAAATAAGCATTGCGACCGGTGTCATAATATGAAGATTTTTATTCTGTATGAGAACGGACGATAAGTTATCAGAAATCAAGGAAAAGGCATAAAATTCAGAATTAAAGAATTTAAATCTCACATGACCATCCAAAATTATGCAGCTATGTCGCATTGAACATCAGACCACAGCGAACATCAGACCACAGCGAACACCAGACCACAGGGAACACCAGACCACCAGGGAACACCAGACCACAGCAATCACCAGACCACCAGCGAACACCAGACCACAGCAAACACAAGACCACAGCAATCACCAGACCACCAGCGAACACCAGACCACAGCGAACACCAGACCACCAGCGAACACCAGACCACAGCGAACACCAGACCACCAGCGAACACCAGACCACAAGCGAACACCAGACCACAGCGAACACCAGACCACAGCAATCACCAGACCACCAGCGAACACCAGACCACAGCGAACACAAGACCACAGCAATCACCAGACCACCAGCGAACACCAGACCACCAGCGAACATCAGACCACCAGCGAACATCGGACCACCAGCGAACACCAGACCACAGCGAACAGCAGACCACAGCGAACACCAGACCATAGCGAACATCAGACAAAGAGGTAGTAAGCAAGTTATCTCCGAGTTCTTCATTTCCTTGCAAAGAATATTTCTTTACATTATAGAATTTAGATTTAGTGCATTTATACTGATTGTTTGCATTGTTCTCGTACCAAGCACAGAAACGTCCCCTGAAATTGGCCATCGATTTCATTTAAATATTTCTTTTATTTATTCATTATTTTCATTTCATTCATTTTCATTTCATTGTGCTGAAAATTTTCAAACACCTAGAAGGCGCTTTAGCAATTCTAAAATCACCTGATATCATATATAGCATTAATTATGTGAGAATAGATAATGATAGCTGCACTTTCCTTCATTAAATTTTAGTAATCAGGAGCATAAAGGTGAATATAAAGGATATATTCATTGATAGATTATCGTTGTCTTTATAAAACTTTATGCACCTCAACTTTTGTTTAAAATCCGCTGTTTGCGACCAAATCGATCGGAGTCCATATGTACGTATGTCTTAGCCTCGCCTCTGCTGCTCTATAATTAATCAATGGCATCGAATAGACTGACAAGGAAGTTCCTCATTGTTCCATTAATCGCATAATTAAAGCCACCAGAATACGCAAAAAACAACTCAATCGCCCATTTCAAGAGGCGATGAAACGTTTAACTTGATTCCGTAACCTGTATTGGGTGAAGTTTTATCCTCAAGTCGCCAGCGTATAAATGTCTACAGAATGGAACTGTGGTTCATGGCGCTGCTTCATTCGAATTCGATAAGTTAGCTATTATATAGCAGCTCCTGAAATTCTGATCTTCATGAAGAGTTCGGTGAGAATATTATTTATCTCCGTGGCTAATTTTATATAAACATTAATTTCATTGAGGCTAGTTCAAAAGAATTCAATGTAATAAAAGTTGGCGAGCAACTGCAAGATTAATTTTATTATTTTTTCTTCCTGGACGGAAAGCAAGTAACAAAATAATATGCATATAAAATTATTTTCTAAAGACAACTCTTCTAAAGAATCCAGTGTCTCCGATGTTACACATGTGCAATGAATTTCTAATCTTATTATCAAGTATTAAAAAAATTAATTTGTAAATTTTATTTTTAACATTTAAAAAAATTATAATTTTCAAAATTATTTATTCTGTCAATTGATCCAAGCATTGTCTCCAACTTTACGCAAGTGTGTAAAATTTCAGATCGATTGGACAGGTAGAAGTGCGTCAAATATCGATTGTAAGATTTGTAGCAGACAGCCAAACAACAAGAAGTGAAGTTAAAGAGAAGTGTTGTAAAAAGAGGTACAATTGTAGGGCTGTTGTATGAATTACATATATTGATTCTAATTCTAGCATTTTAAGTAAAACTGCATCTGGGCGAGGAATTGAGTTTTCATAAATGATATTTTTGGCAACTCTCTACTTCTGTTTTGTTGACCATTTTCACTTATTCTCAGTAATATTTTTAAGAAGCTTTATTATATTCCCACAGAAATTCCTGCTAGCGTCGCTGTTCTTACAGCTCGTCCACTCCCAGGTCCATGGTCATGAATCCTCAACCTCTAATGGGTATCCTGCCTACGCACGGACCGATGGACCTGCAGGAACAGCAGCTGACAGAAGCAAACTCTTGGTGGGAGCGGCTGTCGAAAATAGAAAATCCTTACCGGGTGGAGTAACTGAAATAGACTTTAAAAAATTCAACGTGAAAATGGGTGATGGAGGAGGCAATGTCACTCCATATATGTTGAAGGCTCATGAGCATACTCCATCAAGCGAGAATAGCAAGGGGAAAAAACATATTTATTTGAAGGTGTCAGGCATAAAGAACGACCAGAGTTCGCGTAAACTGACCGTCATGAACGAATTACAGAAGATAACAGGAACACCTGACGCGGAAAGCAGCCAGCAACTACACATAACACCTGACAAAGACGAAGACAACAAAGCCAAGTTTTTTTTCGCTGGATACAGAACAACCACAGATACCATCGTCATAACCAGACCACAGCGAACACCAGACTTCCAGCGAACACCAGACCACCAGCGAATACCAGACTTCCAGCGAACACCAGACCACAGCGAACACCAGACCCCAGCGAACACCAGATCACAGCGAACACCAGACCTCCAGCGAACACCAGACCTCCAGCGAACACCAGACCACAGCGAACACCAGACCACCAGCGAATTATTATGTGAGAATATTTAATGAGCGATAAACTTTCCTATGCTGAATTTTAGTAATTACGAGCATGAAGTTAATTATAAAAAGATATATTTATTGATAGGTCTTCGTTGTTTTTATAAAATATTATGCACCACAACTAGCTACGTACTGCTAAAATCTGCTGTTTGCGACCAAATCGATCAGAGTTCATACGTATGTCCTTGCGTCGCGTCTGCTGCTCTATAATTAATCGATGGCATCTAATGAACCGTCAAGGAACTTCCTTATCCCTTAAACTTTTAATTAACAGAAGCCACCATAGCAAAAATTGCTTTATCGTCCATATCAATAGGCTATGATACGTTTAATTCCATTCTGTAGTCTCTATATTGAGTGAAGTTTTATCCTCAAGTCGCCAGCGTATAAATGTCTACAGAATGGAACTGTGGTTCATGGCGCTGCTTCATTAGAGTTCGATAAGTCAGCTATTACAGCAGCTCCAGTAACTCTGATCTTCATGAAGAGTTCGGTGAGAATGTTATTTATCTCTGTTAGTAATTTTACACAAACATTAATTTCATTTAGGCTAGTTCAAAAACATTCACAGATATAATAGTAGGCGTGCAGATGTTTTATTATTTTTCTTCCTGGACGAAAAGCAAGTACCAAATAAAAAGAAGTCCTATTTTAGGGGTTGATGTAGGAATTACATATCATTATTCTAATCCTAGCAATTTAACAAAAATTGCATCTGATCAAGGAATTGGGATTTCATAAAAGATATTTTTCGGTAGCTTGCCACTTCTGTTTTGTTGACCATTTTCACTTGTTCTCAGCATTATGTTTAGGAAGCTTCATCATATTCCCACAGAAATTCCTGCTAGCGTCGCTGTTCTTACAGCTCGTCCACTCCCAGATCCATGGTCATGAATCCTCCGTCTCTAATGGGCATCCTGCCTACGCACGGACCGATGGACCTGCAGGAACAGAAGCTGACAGAAGCAAGCTCTCGGTAGGAGCGGCTGTCGAGACTAGAAAATCCATACAGGGTAGAGTGGCTGAAAAAGACTTTAAAAATTTCAACGCTAAAATTGGTGTTGGAGGAGGCAACGTCACTCCATATTTGTTGAAGGCTCATGAGCAGACTACAACAAGCGAGAATAACAATGGGAAAAGACATATTTATCTGAAGGTGTCAGGTAAAAACAGCGATAAGGGTTTGGGCAAACCGACCGTCATGAACAAAATACAAAAGCTAACAGGAACACCTGGCGCGGAAAGTAGCCAGCAACTACACATAACACCTGACAAAGACGAGGACAACAAAGCCAAGTTTTTTTTCGCTGGTTACAGCACAACCACAGATACCATCGTCATCTTGACCACCTCGTCGACGCCGGTGACGTGCGTCCTAGGTTCTGCTACCGTCGCCGGTGGTGCACCGCCTCGATGCACTGGACGACGTAAGAAAAGAAGCCAAATTCTCAATTTCGACAGGTGCGTACCAAATGTTGTCCTGACACAAGGTCTTGTCTTCTAAAACATTAAATAATATACGTTTTAAAAATTCTTTTTAAAGACAACACTTCCAAAGAATCCAGTATCTCCAATCTTACAGATGTACAATGAATTTCTCTTCCAATTTTCGAAAATTAAAAAAATTTACTTTTCAATTTTTTAATATATATACATTTTTTAATATATAATTTTTTTCAAAATTATTTATTCCGTTAATTGATTCATGCATTGCCTCTGATTTCGCACAAGTGTGCAAAATTTCAGATCAATTAGACAGGTAAAAGTGTGTCAAATATCAGTTATAAGATTTGTAGCTGACAAAATTATTTTTTCAATTTTTTTAGTATTGAAAAAAATGTTTTTTTTTAATTATTTATTTTGACATTTGATTCATGCATTGTCTCCAACTTTACACAAGTATGCAAAATTTCAGATCGATAGGATAAGTAGAAGTGTATTAAATTTCGATTACAAGATTTGTAGCAGACAGACAGACAGACAGACAGACAAATAAACAAACAGACAAGAAGTGAAGTTAAAGAGAAGTGTTGTAAAATAAGTAATATTTTTTAAACCCAGCAGCGAAAAATTTTCTTGCGAGGGCATGATACCATATTGTATTCATACCACATTACCGGCACTTAAAAACTTATTCATACAAAATATTTAAAAGCGACAGATAAATGTCCTCCTGCTGATGGTGCAGCGTGAAATTAAAGGCGGTAAATTTGTCCATTTGGACGAATAAACTTCCCACATAAACCAAAAAACGCCATTTTGTATGCTGGACGCCAAAGGATTAAATTTGAATAAAAACATCGACCCCACCGAGAGCAATTTTTACTTCTTAATTATCCGCAACTATATCTTTGCAACTGTTTCGAATATTATGAAAAGTTTGTATTTAATGTATAAAAATGAGGTATAAAACATAAAGTCGTAGTCATATTGTCTTTCACATGAAGGGGGTAGTACATTTGGGCATAATTTATGTATAATTATTTCTTTCTTATCTTGCACCACTTGTCGATTTCGATTGTAGCCATACTGAAATGAATAATGCAATCGGATAGACTTATTTATAAATCCGTTGAGCAAATGATCTAGGTCCGATATCTAACATAATATTGTATCATGGTGTATCAATGATTCTTTTACATACATTCCGCAGAGCAAGCGACACATCAAGGATCAGAATTGACTCTTCACAGGATTCGGAAATTGACTCCGAAGTCGATTTCTTTGAAAAGTCTAAAGCTTTCTTCACGATTTGGACGCAGGTCTTCACGACGACCACTTTGACGACATTCGTCACAAATAAGGCATTGACTTTGTCCTTGTCATATTATTGTTCAGTTGGAAACTTGGATGTTCCGTCTATTGGTTGCTGAAACTGAAAATAAGAAACCAGGGCTTCAGGAATCGTGAAGTATTTTTAGCGCATTTTCTCATTTATGAAAAAATGCACTATTGTGCTGGCCATGTCCGTCTGTCCGTCTGTCCGTCCGTGACTTCACGTTTCCATCGACTAGAAAATGCGCTCTCTGTCACTCACTGCAGTGAGATACTGAGTTATATTTTCTATTATTTGACTGTTTACTACGTACTCTACCTTTTTTGCAAATAAACTGTGACTGATTGCAGCCAAAATTTATCAATGGCTTTTAGGCGGCTGTTGCATTAAAAGTTTACATAATTAACAAGAAGTTGCCACATCGATTATGCATTCGTTGCCAATAAATTCATAAAAGTCGCAAGCCAAAAGATGAAATTAATTGAAAATTGAAAGGTCGAAAGATGAAATTAATTAATACATGGGTAGATTTTCATAACTTACTCTCGCCGGCCGCTGTACATGCGCAGAAACGTGCATACAAGGGTAAAAAATGGGTTCGTAATAAATATTTCGCTAAAAAATATTGATGAATGTAATTTTGGCTTACTACCTCCTGCTCAACCTATGACAACCTTCAATGAACATAAACGTATTTTTAAAGTATGACAAAATCTGTTAAACCAAATAAAATAAAATCTGTGCATGTGACACGTTGTAGCCTTTTAACGCATATTAACATATAAATCCTTTTAACGCATATTAACATATATTATCACTCCCAACTGGCATTCTACTATTGAATCAATGTTGAAATAACCACAACGTTTTAATCACGTTGAATATCAGTTTAAAGTTAAAATTGAAGCAACGCCATCATGTGACGTGTTGAAAACATTACAACACAATATTGAAATAATAACTCGCACGACGTCATTTTCACATCGAAATTTAAAGTAATAATTGTACTAATTAATTGTTGATTCCTAAAACTGAATCAACGTCCTGAATTCATCAGTATTATGGTGATTTACGAAAATATTCGGAAGGTATCAACAACGATGTCAACGGAAAAGATGTCAACAATGATGTCAACATTTTCATCTTATTGTATCTTGAATATTTCCTGAGCATCTAATTTAGTACCTACATTCAGTACGCGATGCCGATGCTATAGAAGGCTCCAATTATTCAGTTGCCTTTAACGTAATGTATCACTTCTTTCGAAAACTTTAGCTACTTATGTAAAAAATCAGCTGTTTGCGACCCGATCGATCAGGGCCTAAACTTTCAAAAAAAGTTAAGAGATCGTAAGTTCATCAGCCGATCATTGACGGCCTTTCAAGCAAAATCCACCAATCATAGTCAAGAAAATAGAGCGTAAGTACTTACGTTTACTTAGCGAATTTTGAAAGTATGGCCACTGAAACCTGGCTGTTCTGCTAATAGGTTGCTGAAACTGATACTAAAACAATGACATTTTCATCATTCGAGTGTTGCAAAATATTTTACTGTTGATTTGATTGGGTATTTGCTTCATTAAACTACTTCCTAATTCAGAATACCCCCACTGATTGCACACTTCAGAATACCCCCACAGAAGAACAACATCAAGGCTTCCTCTAACAATGTATGGTATGAATGTATGGACAAATACATTCATCTCCTTATAGCTCTGGATCAATCACTAAATTATTTCATTAACTCATGCAGATAAAAAATCTTTCTGGTCGAGAAGATATAAGTTGACGTAATAGCGTTGCTACAATATCATGAGAAAGATTCACAGAAGTGTGTTTTGAATTAGTTCCATTAACACTATAGAGTGGAGTCACCATGATGAATTATGTTATTAGTTGAGGAAGTCAACTCATTTGACTTAGAGGAGACTCATCGACTAGTCAATGAACGAAAACAATTGCCTTGTAGTGAAGACCATTACGCAATATATGATATCTCAGGCTCCTAAAATACATATATTGGCTATTTGATTATGACTTTATGAAATATTTTAAAACCATTCATTAACATAAAAATAGACTGAATAAGCAAATGTCAAGCGTGTGCAGAAGTATATAGAGTTATTGAGGAGTTTGCTATACTAAAAATGGAGAAAGCTCTACAGTCACTATGGTATGATTTCAGGTTACAATTTTAATTAATTATTTATACAAAAAAATTGCCTCCAAACTTAAACCAACTTTTTTATCATTACTAACTGCGAGAAAAACGTCACGCAATGTGGCATAAATATTGATTACAGTAAAATAGGACAAGTGCAGTATTCATTTCAAATAAATTCTTCGAGTGAACGCAAAATAAACGACGAATGCTTCACAATATTTATTAACTCAAAAAACTCACTCTATATATGTACACAATTGGATCAGAATATCTCTTGTAACGGAAGCCCGCACCATTAGCTATACTTAAACAAAATACTTCTTCGAACATTCATCAAAACTATATATTACGGTCAAACATGTATGTGATCCAGGCCAGTATCTACTGCAGCACGTATGAATTAAGCCACAATTCGTATGAGGTTCTTATACTATAGAAGGGGAGAGTTTGGCCAATTGTTGTTCTAGACATTAGGTCATCGTTGCCAGAGGGCAGTGTTCAAAACAAACCGACACACACAAATTTACCAGCTGTTTGGTTACAATAATTCTGATAGGTGGGCGACAGAGAAGATTTTCGACAATCATTTCAATCTTCATAGTGTATTGAAGCAAACGCCTGAATATGCAGCTGTGATATCTATTCATATTTTCTTGTGCAAAACCAAAACACACCAGCTGTGATGCAAATAAAATTCAACAGAAGACGGTAGGAACATCCATGCCTTTGATGGTGCAGTAGTAGGACACTTTGACTGTAGTGGCAGTGTCAGTGTACCGCACCGTGACTGTGGTGCTAGTGGTCGAACTGTTCCAGATGGTATAGAGTCCACCAACAAAACGCCCGTCATTCTCTTCGTCGACAGCAGCTTCATTGCTTTCTTCTTGACTGCTGTCCAGCGTTGTGCTCCTGAAGTTAGTGTAGATAAAAATATATCGTAAAAGGTCAAATCTATACATCGAACTTTTTTACCAGGGATCAACCACTGGCTGATTACGGTCCGAATCAGACCGAGAAGCCGTGACGTACGGATCATAAATCCCAGATGATTAATTGTACATTGACAACCGATTATAAAGTTAGGCATAATGATCGTTCGGACCTAAGCAACAAAGAATGTTATTTGACAGGATCTTTCAAAACTTTATTTGATTTATCTGTCCAATACGAGTGTATTTCCGTGTTTAAATTTAAAATTAAAAGTAATCAATAGCTTGTGGAGGGCTCTGAAAGAATCGTTCCGAAACAGGACGGATAAAAATTTTTTTTTATAAAATTCACAGGGAGCGGAGAAAATCCTGACTTTTTTTTTTTTTTATCGGTCATTTCTCAAATTTTGTTCATTTTGAAATTAAGACAAGTTTCGATATTCTGGTGCTATCAACTGATGGTAAAAAGACTCGTGTGATTCACACTTTTTTACAATATTTTATCATGATATTGTGTTCATGTCAATAACTGGTCGCTCGGAGTCAATTATGTAAGTTAAATTGATTTAACAAATTGATTACTTTTAGTTTAAGAAAATCCAGCATAGATGCATAACATGTCAACTATATAAGAATTAAAGGCTACGTACTTGTCATTCTTGCCAGCAGCCTCGGGCGTAGACATGAAATTCATTTTCTGATCGGGAAGTTGTCCATCGAGGAAGACCCTGCGCCTCTTTCTTCCGAGGCAGAGGGCTGCTGTGAGGCCACTGAAGCATGTTACTGGTACCGTACTTGTGAGGAGACTCACACCTGTTCTAGTGATGGTCCTATACGACCCAAAGAAAGCCTTCTCCTTTGCGAAATTTGAGACGCCCTTCGGAGGTACCTCGGAGGCTTTGGCTGCTGCCGGAGACGCTGCTGCAGGAGCGTTTGAATCTTCAAGTTCTGTTGCGTAGGCCACGGCTATCAGCGTCACCGCGAGCACCCAAGCCCTGACAAACGCCATTCTTGTCGCTATTGGAGAACAAGGAAGATGACTTTAGAAAGGTGTCATTTGACGAAGAAATTTGATGAATGAAACGAAATAAATTTTGCGTATTAAGAGAAAGTTAAAAATAACTTTGAGCAGTGAGTAATTTATTTGATACAAGCAACCTTTTTCTAAGGGCTTGACATTAAGTTCAATTTGTATTTATAGATATATCTTACATTAATACGATTTCGTTGAAAAAGCATTTGTTTCTTATTTACATGCTGATAGGGAATAATCGTTGCCTAAGTCATCTGCATTAAGATATATATAATAAGCAGTGCATGCAACAGCGCAACAAGGTTTAATAAAATGGAAATAGTATTTTCACGCTTTATGAACCTAGATTTTTTGGGGACTATTTCGAGTTAAACAAATGTACAGTTACTTTTTTCATGGAAGCAAGAAATTTTCTTCAAATTTGACATGCGCATCGTCGATGGTTGCCGCCTTACCTGCCTCTCCAGTTCCAACAATAAGACTGAACCGTCAGTCCTCTTGTTCTATGTATTTAAATACTCAATAGGATGTGCAGCTCTCGCTGTAGGAGTCATTTGAGATAATTGAAGGCTTACCAGCAGGAAAGTTGAAAAGTAACGTCGGTAAGGAAAATGTGAACTTACATGGAATCCTAGATAAGTACATTTCATAAAGTAACATTAAAATTATCTTAAATTAACCTTTATAAACAATATCAGGGACTCTGGAATTCTTGGAATCTCGGGCGGGTGGTGCATCAATTATTTTCTCATGTCCAATTTTGAATCATTTATGAATACTTCAATAATACCGTGTTATTCTTATAATGTGATTTAAATTTACCGTTAAAATTCATATGAAATTCATTGCAAATTCACTCAATTTGCGCGATACGTTTTAAAAATAATTTTGTGCGCAGCAGAACGGTAGCATTTGGATGCCCTGGGGTCCGCCCAGCCTTGCTGGGGAATTGGAAATCATAGAAGTATGAACTCCGAAATGTATCGGGGCATTCTTGAGAAATGTCTCTTGAAGTCGGCCGAACAATTGAACCTTACTCGAGGTTGGATATTCCAAGATAATGACCCTAAGCACACGGCTGGGGTAACTCTTGCATGGTTTCAGGAGTGAGACATTGAGTTGTTGGAAATAATTGGAATGGCCAAGCCTGACCTCAATCCGATTGAACATCTGTGGCGAGAATTGAAATTGAGAGTACAGGAGAGAGATACAAGAAATCTTATCCAATTGAAAAAATATGCAAGGATGAGTGGGCTAAAATTCTTATCAACATATGTGTTAATCTTGTGAAGAAGTATTCCAATTGGTTAGAAACAGTTTTGGCTGCTAAAGGTCACATTACGTAGTATTAAATAAATTTGTTTGCTATGTGTTGTATACTTTTTGAACCTTGACTTTTACAAAATTGTAATTATCAAGTCAACATTTATATTGTTGTTTTGATGATATTTGTATTTACCGTGTAAATTCACATTAGAATATTTTTTGTTTATGTTATTTTGTTGAATAAGCTTTAATTAAAATTACTTGTGTTATATTCAACTGTGTTCAAATTTTCCTAAGTTAAGTGTTTACTTTTCGTTCAAATAAAATATTTGTGTTAATTGGGGAGAACTTATTAAGCCTCGGCACGCAAGATCATTACACTTATCGTATTACAAACCTATCCGCCCAGAGTTTTTTCCGGTTCTTGAAACACTCACAACTAAATTTTAAGACCAAACATTCCAACCGTTGTTTCAAAAATCATCTGACCCCAATATATTTATTACTTTAATTTACTTTAACCAACCCACGTTTTCTGATCCCTGCATGATACATTGCGGCGAAAATTCGTAATGATGACAGCCTTATTTTAATCATTGACAGGCGTTTGCCTGAGCCGAGCGCAAGCAGTTGATAGATCAGCTGAGTGCCTTGGAAGATTGCGCATCTCTGTCGATGCCCACTAACACACAGTTGCAGAGTGTAGAGATGGAATCTCGATCTCATAATTTAGAGGACTTAATGGCTATAATTGTTTTCCGTATGATTTTGATAAGAGTTTTTTCCTCAAGTTCACCACATACTGTATAAATGTACTTCAGTCGGAGCTTTAGTGCACTTCATTATTCGCAGTACTTCATTGGTATTATTCGCAGTACTTCATTGGTATTAATTGCAGTACTTCATTGATATTATTTGCAGTACTTCATTGGTATTATTTGCAGTACTTCATTGGTATTAATTGCAGTACTTCATTGGTATTAATTGCAGTACTTCATTGATATTATTTACAGTACTTCATTGATATTATTTGCAGTACTTCATAGGTGCTGGATTAGTTAGCGACTGTCAGCTTGCGCAGTCATCACCTACATGAAAAACTCGGTGATAATGAGGCATTCGACTTCTGAAATAAATCAAAAGCATTTAGATATTTATATTTTTCTGTCGCACGTGATTTAGTGTGTTATGCGCTAAAAATAGAAAGACTGTTAATTGATATTTTTTTTATCGCTCCCTGTGTCAAACAATCTGTCTGATTTCTGCTGCCATTGTTCAGTGCTAGCACTCGATAATATATTCAACTGTTTACTTGAGCGTGTTCAGGCACTGATGTAAAAATAGCTAGCTGAATCTGACTTCTTTTTTATTCAATTCTAACGGCCCATTAGAAATCGCGCTCATCGAATATTGTTCACAATTGAATGGTCTGTCACCTATTCTGTACATGGCAGAATTTTACAGCTAGCTGAGCCGTAAACCAGCAACTCAATGCTCCGATCTTGCTGTTCTTTCGACCGGACCAACTCCCCGACGTTGACAAGGATTTTTCATAGCTAGCTGAGACTAGAACCCGAAACTTGCTGGTCCAATTTTGGGGATCTTAATCACTCGGCACATTGATACAAGGCCAACCACCCAAATAAATTATAACTAGCCTTCGGGCATACAAACGATTATGAACAAAGCAGACCTCGAACTTTAATCTCCTCATGCGGTTGCTCATCGTTTAACGAGATAACCGAGTGCACGCAGTATACATATAACGTCATCGTGATAGTTGACACTGTTAACACTAACCAACCCACCTCTACCCTCTACATTCATGGAAGGCATAGTCCAATATAAACTAAGTAGAAGCAAGACCATTCAGTCATAAAACAGCCTTAACTGCCGATGGCGGTAGCTAAAATATTGAAACAGCCGCCTGTCATGCTGACATTTATCGAAGGATCAAAAACACAAAAGGTCGGAATCTTAACTAGTATTTTATTACTAAACCCTCATTTTTAGCGCATTTTCTCATTTATGGAAAAAATGCACTATTGTGCTCGCCATGTCCGTCTGTCCGTCTGTCTGTCTGTCTGTCCGTCTGTCTGTCCGTCCGTCTGTCCGTGACCTCAAGTTTTCGTCGACGAGAAAATGCGCTCTCTGTCACTCACTGCAGTGAGTACTGAGTTATATTTTTTCTTTCATCTACCACCGAGTTATTTGTTGCTGTAAAATAAAAGGGATTTAGGTAATCACAACTTTATTCAAACGAAGATCGAGTTACTTGCAACATGATTTAATCGAAGCTGACTACTGACAAATACAATGCAGTTTAAGTTAAAATCTAAAGCGTATGCTTGCTTCTAAAGCGTTTAGAAGCAATCTTCTAAAGCGTATAGCACAGACTAAAAAGTTGATATGATAGTGACCTCGAAACAGGTACGAAGCTCAATCGTCGTTCAAAACATCTTAATTGTTGTCCTTTTGATACGATGTTTATTTTTACCGATTCGAGTTCTCTGTTCCAACATTTATACAGAGATGAAAATGGCTGTATTTTTCAGGCCCTGCCTAAAATGCCTTGAAATTATTGGTGCTTTTTTTCATTCATTGAAGGCCTATTTAGGCTTCATCATGATTCCTATTCATCGTGATCTATCGTTAAGGTTCTCCACAACCAAAGGAAATTTTTAGCAACTACCACTAATGATTTAGCAACTACCACTGCCGTTGAGGTGGTCAGTATGTGCGTACCTCCCAAAAAATTTATATTTCAGTCCTACCAGAACCATCCTACATGATATTCCTATAATAGAAATGTGTTATATTGATATGAGCAAGTACATTGAAATTAAAATCTCCATATGAATTAAGAATATCAAGCGTTCGCTCCATCACTTCAAAATAAATAGTTCGCTGCACTTTATATACGCTGTGATAATAATATGACATATCACAGGTGTTGGTTAATGAATATTATTTTTTAATGCAATGTAGATTTTATTAGGAGATATTATTTTTACCGCCTTCAAGTTATTGCAGTTTACTTGTTTTCCTATATTTACGTTCGCGAACGAAAACTATATACAGTGGGGGAAAATAAATATTCGTACACTTGAAAAATCGTATTTTAATGTGTGTAAGTACACAAACTTAACAGGAAAAGTGATTTAAATTATGTATAGAGACGCATAACTGTCTGTCTCGTCCCGGTTCATAATTTACCGGGACACAAGTTTTAAAGTCCGGGACAAAAGTCTTGTCTTGGTTCATACGTTTATTCAGGGACAAATTTTACCCTCTGTCCCGTTATTTTTTTCCCGGAATTTTCTCGTCTCGTTTTGTCTGTCCCGCTTCATTTCGAGAAAATTATTTCGAGACGCAGGAGTCTAGTAGCTGATTGAACTTCTACGGTAGCTCATTAAAGTTCTATTGTAGCTCATTGAACTTCTATGGTAGCTGATTGAACTTCTATGGTAGCTCATTGAACTTATATGGTAGCTCATTTAATTTCTATAGTGGCTCATTGAACGTATGTTAGCTCATTGAACACACACAATGTGAAAGATTTTGTACATTAAAGTTTCTGCCACGCGATCGTCTGTTCTTTTTCATTGTTTCAAAATCAATTAAGTAACATAATTTACCTATACATCAAGTACATTTACCTATACATTTCCATAGTGGCTCATTGAACGTATATGTTAGCTCATTGAACACACACAATGTGAAAGATTTTGTACATTTAAAGTTTCTGCCACGCGATCGTCTGTTCTTTTTCATTGTTTCAAAATCAATTAAGTAACATAATTTACCTCCTATTTATCTAGTAACGTATTATAGAATACAAAATGTCATCACAGGAGTAAACCCCACTTAAATTGAATTCCTCAGAAAACTTATACCATAAGTTTGGCCAGATTAGGATTCTAAAAAATTTTTTTTCTCACTTCTGAACATTTCTGTGCAACTAGCATGTGTTGCAGGACCATCAGGTGAACATTAGCTTGTTAATAACATGAACTTGTCACAGGTAAGCTAAAATCAAGCATTGCGTTCAGCAATCACGATACCCGAGCCAGACGTCCAGGATGAAGGTGTTGCTGTCGTTGTCGCTGCTGTGCCTGCTGGTGGTGGTCCTCACCAAGGGCGTTCATCAGACCTACCGCCTGCACTACCGGGGAGCCNGATTAGGATTCTAAAAAAAATTTCTCACTTCTGAACATTTCTGTGCAACTAGCATGTGTTGCAGGACCATCAGGTGAACATTAGCTTGTTAATAACCTGAACTTGTCACAGGTTAGCTAAATTATTACTGCTACTACTACTACTACTATTATTATTATTTATTATTATTATTTATTATTATTATTATTACTATTATTATTACTGCTGCTACTACTACTACTACTACTACTACTACTACTACTATTATTACTACTAATTATTACTGCTACTTGACTTCATTGCGTTCAGCAATCGCGATACCTGAGCCAGACGTCCAGGATGAAGGTGTTGCTGTCGTTGTCGCTGCTGTGCCTGCTGGTGGTGGTCCTCACCAAGGGCGCTCATCAGACCTACCGCCTGCACTACCGGGGAGCCGCCCTCTGTGCCACCTTCACCAGGCGCAAGGCCTCGGTCAACAGCGTCATCAGGGTGCGGGGCAAAGGATTTGTTAGAAATAATTAAATAAAAGAGAACTTTAGTTTGCTATGTGACATATCGCGAGGCCTTAACACAGCATTATTTGGAACCTTCACCTGTTGTGTGACATCATAACAAATTCGAACTTTGTTATACCGTTTCATGCTGCTTGATTATAAACAGGTAAACAACTGTATGGAGATAAACTGTCGTCTGTATCCAGTGGTGGGCCTACTTCCGCTAATCCGCTAACAGCTAGTTAGCGAAGCTAACTTTCTCCTTATCGGATTAGCTTTTAAGCTAACTTTGGAAACCATTAGCAGACCAATTAGCGTCCGCTATATTTAGTTCCGCTAACTGGCAGTCCGATAGAAGTGTTTATAAATCTCTTCTGATAGAAAATTCAGGTGTTAATATTTAATGCTAAGTATCGTTAGCCGTGTGCCACACTGATGGCTGACTACGTCAACATATGTACGTCAACCAATCACGTCTTGTGTTACTGCTACATATTGTAGTAGCACAAGACGTGAGTGGTTGACGCAGCATCGAGAGGCTGATGTTCATCAAGGGCAACAATCATCACCTCAAAAAGATGAAGGGCAAGCCAGAGTAAAAGCAGTGTGTAACCCTGCTTATACTTGTTTGTATTTATTTCTTAATATTTCGTATTCGTTTAATGCTTTCTTATTCGTATTAAATTCTTATTATTGAAATATACAAATTGAATTGTTATGCGAATTGAATTGAAATACGAATTCCAGAGGTATAACGTTATACCACTTCGTGCTGTCCAGTGCGCAGTGCTTGCGCTGTCAGTGAACGCCCCTGCGTTTTCTTACTGTGAGGGCGAGACTGTGGACTGCATCCTGGCGGCATCAAACTATACTGTGGGGTCCAGGGCCACCTCAGGGCCATCCTGCCTCCTGTACTCCAGCTTCCCTCCGCCTCCACCACGGCCTCTCTGCGTTTTCTTACTGTGAGGGCGAGACTGTGGACTGCATCCTGGCGGCATCAAACTATACTGTGGGGTCCAGGGCCACCTCAGGGCCATCCTGCCTCCTGTACTCCAGCTTACCTCCGCCTCCACCACGGCCTCAGGTAGTGCGTTACCAAATCAAACTTCAAAGCCTATTAAGTGAAACTACCAAAGCCTATAAAAATGAAAATGAACGCATATATCTCATATTACGGTACAAAGTCTCATGTAAACATCTGACCTCAGCCACAAACAACGATAGTATGTAGTTCGGTGTCCGGCAAATGCTCTCACCGCTACATAATCAAAAGTCTTGATTTTCCCGAACCTCAGGGATGAAAGTAATGAACCCGCAATTATATCTATCCGGCGCTTGATGTTATATGGCTCGACTAAATTGATTCTCGGCTTAATGTTTCATCTATAGTAGTGACGATCTTGTGTACCGAGGTTTAGCTTAGGTAATTAATCGTTGTAGCCTTGCAAAAGAACTATTCTTCATTATAGGACCGGTTGATTACATGATACCGAAAACAGTTGATCAATGGGTTATAACGTTTCTAGCTGAGTTAAATTGTGGAAGCTCTACCCAAATTTTACTGTACTAACCTTAGCCCATTTTACATGATATACATGACCTTGTAACCGGCGGCTTCAGGACTGAGAGTTGGTCGACTTCTAACTTTACTCGTAGTTCATATTAAACTCTTCAAATATAAACTCTAAGAAATATCAATTTTGTACGCTCAAAAAATACAGAATCAACGCATTTTACTTAAGTAAAAGGAGGAACTGAGTCGATTTCTTCGTATCCAGGGCACGAAGCAGTTCAAGCTGAGCTCAGGCACCACCAGCGATGGAAGCGTGACGTCCCTCAGCGCCCAGAACCTCTGCGCGGCGGACGGCCTTCAGTTTGCAATGATCGAGACCGCCAATGAACACAAGCAACTGCTTGCCCAAGTTGGGCCAGGTGATTCAATGTCTTTCTCTATCTTTAGAAAATATAATATTTATTTGAGAAAGATTGTTCGTTGGAGTATTTGTTGGTCGCGGGGGTACCTTCATTTCACGCCGATGGAAGTTCAATTGAAATTTGGTTTCGATTATGTGACATTCTTGCTTTCTTTCAGATATGCCGATTATTCACTTCGATTCTAATTGAGCCTAACTTGGCTTCACAGTGTGTTCTCATAAGCTTCACTTTTCCTTTTTTTGGCTTTACTTGGGCTTCATTTAATTTGTATTCCCGTAACGCTGTTCACACTTTGGCTTCCTAAGTTCTGGAATGACTTGGCACATTTTAATGACAGTCTATGTCACGCAATGCAAACATGATCAGTTTTATGATGATGTTTTGGGTCTATTAATTTAACTTCATTTAAATAAAATGATACCGTCAGCTGACAGACCAGATATAATGGCTGAATTCAACCGCTTGAATCGTCGGCCCATGGAATTGAATCGGCCATTTGAATACCGCCCGTTACTTTCAACAAGCTGAGTGACAAATATCTTGTATTGATAACGTAACTGACCTCAAATTGCCACTAAATTCTGTAGTTTTTTGCGTTTTACAGTGTGATGGCGTTCAGGTCTTTCACGAAGTTCGCGACTCGCTGAGGCAGACCCTTAAGAACTTCAACACCCGTACCAGTGTTATATGGTAATACGGCAATAAATTTCCATTATTGGGCAAACTCATTATTGATGTCCGTAAGTTCATGTCCAAATTTCGATTTATGTTCATTTCCTTTCAGAGATCAGATCACGATGCACTGTCTCATGCTTGGCTTGGATATGGCTTGACTCAAATTTACACTGGGTGGATGGTAGTGTGCTGAACAAGTGCGAGGTTTCCGCCGACAGCCCTTCAGCGTCCGGCAGCTGTGCCGCTCAGGAATGGGAGACAATGGTGGTGTGGCAAATGCCGTGCACTCTTCGACCTGTTCCCGTCATCTGCCAAACTTACGTGTGAATTAACCACGAATAGTTGATAGCGATCAATGGTGTACAGACTTTCAAATTTACACCGATTAGCAGTTGAACCGACTATTCACTAATTGTTTGAAGTATTAAGCTTATTACAAGCCATTAGCTGGTGGACCTACAGGTTTTGATAGATGAAGCTACAAGTTATTCTTAGCATGCCACTCGCTTGACTGTCTCTCATTTACTTTATCACTCACATTTAATATTCACCAGAATGCTTATGCGCCACTCATAGTACGTATAGTATAGTGGTGTCGGCACTGAATAAATAGGCTTAGGCCTGCTGCAAATTGTTGTACTTTTCGTATTTTGTTCACAGGAGCTTTGAAGGCCTTGTTTTTTTTTGAAGGCAGTAGTCACTTTCGTCCGTGTGACGTCAGAAAGGCAAAATATATTTAGCTACCTAATTAACCAGGAAGGGCAGTCAGAATTTTTAGGAAAATGTGTATCATTTTCTTTACACTGGGTGCTCAATAGTCTGAATGTAGGGCCCTGGTCTAATTCTAATTGTTTCTAACTGCCACACTTTTCTTCTGATCTTACCACTATACTAACGTTCGTTCGCTTGAAGTTCAGAATTTATTAACCATGAAACGAATAAAAGTCATTGGATTGATTTGCGCCGCCGTGGCCAGAGGACTGTGTCGCCACTTCGTCCGAGGTGCTCAGCGGACGACGATGCGTTTGTAATTAGTTGAAGAAGCCATTTGTATTGTAATACTGAAAACCGAATAAATTTTTGTAGCAGCGAAGCGCAAATGTTTGTGACAAAAAGGGTAGAATATATTGTGGTATTCAAGTTCAAAATGGTTGATGTTGACAGAACAAACTTTTAGTAATATTGAAGTGTAGTAGTATCACTATAGTTTGTTCTATTGGGCCTAGTTCACCAGTGTTTTGCAATGTCATGCCATCACACCAATTAGCATTGGGATCATCCCTATGTCATACAAGTCTCAGGGTCATATATGTCTGGCCACTATCTATATAATGCATGAAAAATCACATGTATGTCAGAAAGAAGTTGTGAATAGATGAGGATTAAATTTCATAAACTGTGAAAATTAATTAATAATTGGGTTAAATTTAACGTTAAAACCAATTTGAAACTAAATATATAAAGTTGAATTAAAAATAGTATACAACTTAACGTATAATTTTAGGTATAAAACTTGATACATAATTTCAATGTATATTGTAATCAACCTGAAATTTATTAAAAAAATTAAAATTCTAAAAAGTTCGAAATGGAAATGATGATTGGAAACGATAGAATGATTTTTTAAATAACTTCTTTTAATTAATATGTTGAAAAATTGTCTCCTTTTCTTTGGCGTTGTTAAGTCAAAAAGTCAGGTTATACCGAAGGACATTTTTAATGCAGCAACAATGTCTCCAATGTGCAACCTTCATTCCTATATCAAGTTATAAGACGCCTTGAATAATGAAATCTAAATTGACATCAGCACAAAATAATGTAAATAGGATACTACTTGAAAAAATTTGTATTATATACTCGAAAATTGAACCAAGTCAGGTGACCCAAGCTTGCACCGTGTAACGATGTTGGTGCAGGCATCGGGGCAACTCATGACGATGCTGCTGCAGGCGTATTATTATTATTAGTATTGCAAGGTTGGTAGAATTTATTTCTTTGAGCAGGTTCCATTGAAGACCAGAGAATTTTTTCCATCGACACATTTTTTAATCGTTTTTTTTATACCATCAATCGAACAATTTTTTTCGTTTGCAGCGGTAAATCGATAATCAGGGTACTAATTAACATTTTTATTTTGATAACAGCATTTCGAATGTATTAATCATTTATTATCAAGTTACAAGATGTATCGAGTGATGAAATTTGGATCGACATGCGTTCAAAATCATGTAAATAGAATAATACTAAAAAATCGATTTGATTAGAAAAAATTGCCAAACGTTAGAATACGAAAATGATCAAGAATTACCCCGAAAACAGTGTCAAGGTTTCAACAAATCATATTATGCTAACAGACTATCAGACTATCAGCTCTCTGAACATGTCTCGTCATTTTGATGCATGATCGGATAGCATTTTACATGCTTCATTGTGACAGTTACATTATACAGGGTGGGGCAGAACCGATTGAGCAGTTTTGAGGCAAAATAAATTAAAGAGTAATGGAGGTACATAAAGAAGAAAGTTTATTTTCCTCGAGGTTAGCATAACATACCATTTAGAATATTTATGTTTTGAAAATAATATCAGGAAGATGCTAGCCGTTAGCTGCAACATACTGTTGAAGTCGTTCTCGGAAGTTTCGTACAGCACGTTCACACATATGGTGAGGTATGGCCATAACCTCTGCTGCAATAATCCGTTCCCTTTGCTGTGGTAGGGTGTGAAGGCGACTTCTGACGCCCTTTCGTTTAGATGTCCCCAAAGAAAAAAATCGCAAATGCTCAAATCAGGTGACCTCGCAGGCTACTGTAAATCAACCTCTGAGACACCAGACGTCCGGGAAACATGCGTCTAAAAACATTGAGTGACATTCGGGCTGTGTGAGCTGTAGCCCCATCCTGCTTGCTGGAACCACACGTCTCCCAATGCCTTAATTTCAGCAATGTTTTCCATCCTGGGCTGCAAGAAATTTTGCAACATTGCAGCATAGCGTTCGGAATTCACTGTCGCGGTTACTCCCTCCACCGAGAACGACTCCAAGAGTGTATTGCAGCTAACGGCCACCATCTTCCTGATATTGTTTTCAAAACATAAGTATTCTAAATGGTATGTTATGCTAACCTCGAGGCAAATAAACTTTCTTCTTTATGTACCTCCATTACTCTTTTATTTCGTCTCAAAAGTTCTCAATCGGTTCTGCCATCCTCTATGAGCATCCTATCAAAATTAGCTGCATTAATTAGACATAGATATACTACTTGCGACCCTATATTTTCTCCTACCTTGTATTTTCCCGCTGGAAAAACATTCGACCCTAGCAAGATTCGGACTCGACACACTTCAGACTGCGCGACGCCTTAGCCAACTTGACCACGGTAGCACGCATGCCTTCGAAATTGAAATAAGCTATAATAAATCTCCTGAATGCATACTGATTACTCAATCAATAGAAATCTGTAGAGTGATAATCATTTCTTAAACTGTTATGATCGTTGTATCAAATGCACCAAATATGGATTCAGCTATGGAAACTTATCAAGGTATAAATCAGCTCAATGTCAAAGGTGCGATTATTCCTGCAAATGTTGTCTCACTGCGGGCCGTAAATTGGTGCGGCGGTGACAGTTTTGTTACGTGCCACCTCGCGCCCGGTGCTGCTTGGTTTGGGTCTGAAGGTAGCAATGCTCCCGGACATAGCCCCAGTAGCGACCCTGCATGTTTCTAAATTCTAAGACAATATCAGCAGAGAACTGAATGGAAACGCAGTAATTTAAATCTTATTTGTTGCTGGAATAAGCCAGTACAATGTATATTATCTATAAGGCTCTACATCACGCCAAATTAATTTAACCAGCTAATTGGTGATAGTACCTAAAAATGAAATGAGCAAATTTTTATATGAATACCATATAAATCAGACATCGTAAAGGCGCCTGATTTTTATGCCATTTTATTTATATTTTTGTTGCCTGATTATATGCAACATTTATATGCCATTGCAATCAATCACTGGAGATTTAAACTTAGTATTGAACATTTGAACGCCTTTTAAATCCAATAAATTAGACGTAAAAATTTAGCATGGCAGTTGCTTTTTAGATCTTAAATTTTAATCGGAGCCGATGTGGTCAAAGTCACGTGCCACGATCGGTACAATATTATTTAGTTACGGTTAGGTTGATGTCACAAGACGGTCTCTGACGTCAACATTTTGACATCAACCTCTAACTACAAGCTATGGCACTATAAAAGACACTACCACCTGTAGACCGCTGCTTGTAACTGTGCAGGATACAGCCCAGGTCGGAAGTGATGAGATGCACGTGGCGTGATGAGATGCACGTGGCGTTGCGCGTTGAGTCACAGGGGCACGTGATGAACGTTTTAACAGGGGCTGCAATGGTTCTTTGTACGTGCTGGTGTGATGTTGCAAGACAATTAATGGTTACCGGAGCAGCGGCTGGTACGAGAGTATATAAGCTCTTAGAGTGGGCAGACGCTAGCTGTGAGAGACAAAACGGAAGTAATTGTTGCCTGTCAACGGAAGCGAATTCTTTCTAGACTATTTTTATAAATATAAAATTAGTTATGTAGCGATATCCGCTACAGACCAACAAATTTTGAGCATCATAGCGTGAGTAGAAGACTTACTTCGCGTGTAGAAAACGATGAAGAACGATCTACTAAAGCTTAAACGCAAAAGAGATCTTCGTCACCTTCCCACCGCCCGCTCTCTCATCACTACAAAACATGCGAACGAACTCCTAACGTGAACTCCTGATTGTGATCATGGAATTTTACAATCAATGAAACTAATTGATGGATGGCTAACCGATAAAGACGTGGGAAACAAAAATGGAATTGCTTGGACATTATTAGAATTTGAAGAAATTGCCCAAGAAATCATTACTCTAGCTACGAAACTGTTTGAAAACATCGAAATCAGGTTGGTTTCACTGATGCATTAAAAATTCCTTGGTGTATCGCAATAACAACTTTGTAAAATTATTATTGTTAATACTTTATCAAAGTTCTTATTGTCGTCAGCTTATTGGAACTAATTTGAAGGGAGTAAAGAAAAAAATTGATCAGTACTCACTGCCGTGAGTGACAGACGGACAGACATGACGAGCACAGTAGCGCCTTTTTTCCATAAATGAGAAAATGCGCTAAAAAGGTAATTCCTGATACACCATCAGAGAATCGATAGTCAATTGTCGTCTGTTTTTCTGAATAATTTGTTTATATCTTAAGGCAAAAGAATTGCATAAATGGCATGGCTTCTACCTTGGCTGCTTGCATCGCTACTATTCCCATCATCGAGAAGCTGTGTGGATAGAGATTTGGTCCCACCCTGAGGCCCATAATGGGAGGTGGAGGTAACATCAGAACAAGTTCAAAACGGAGGGTCGAGAAGCTCTACGCTCTAAGTTTGCGAATTACCTCACTTGAGTTTTTAAATCACGACCTTATCTGCGTTCATTATTTTTATTTTATTATTAAGGGACAGAATTAGGGCCTTAGCAAAGAAGACCAATTATATCCAGTTTTATTATCCGGTGCAATAGTTGAATAGAATTCCGGTGAAATAATTTATTGAAAAAAAAAAATTTTTTACAGATTTCATCACGGCAAAAAAGATGGGCTCTTTTTTGACGTGGATATGGCTGACAATGTCTACAGTAAATACACAGAAGTGTTGTATCAAATGGTGTGGAACATAAACTCTCTGCTCCGCAAAGTCTTTACAGACTTGC